ATCTTAAAATAATTAATATAATTAAAATAATTCTTTATATAATTAAAATAATTCTTAAAATAATTAATATAATTAAAATAATTCTTAAAATAATTAATATAATTAAAATAATTCTTAAAATAATTAATATAATTAAAATAATTCTTAAAATAATTAATATAATTAAAATAATTCTTAAAATAATTAATATAATTAAAATAATTCTTAAAATAATTAATATAATTAAAATAATTCTTAAAATAATTATAATCTCAATTTCGTTTTACTAATTCCTAGAATCGTATTCAGTTTTTCAATATTATTTTCTTCTAAGAATTATTGAATAAAACTTGAAATTCTAATAAATTTCACTCTTGAAATTTCAATTAATTACAAACTATGTAATCTTACCACTTCGTTTTTTTGATCTCTAATCTCTTTCGTGTATCATCGTGTTTGAATAATTTCTTTTCAGAAGTCCCTTATATGTAAACTTCCAAGTCGATACAACACCTTTCCTTCGTTTTCTCCTCAAATTTCCTTCCTTTAATTGCACACGGTTCTCCGATCATCTTTGAATTTCTTTTTCGATTTGATTTTCAAGGACGACGTGATGCACGTAATCATGAAAATCAGAATTCCTCTGCTTCGCGTGAAATCTGATTATTATCTGATGGGTAAGGTTGGCCAGGAACTGGTGAGAGGGAACGGCAAGCTCAATGGCAACTTCAGTGAGTGCATTCTTTGAATCAAGTTTATTGGTCGGAGGGAAAAAATGTTGCTTCGTGATTGATACTTTCTCCGAGCAAATATACTTAATTATGATAGGAAATTTATCGTAGAAAACAAGTTTCGTGGTAGAAAATTTATAGTTGTGACAATGATGATAGTAATAATAGACAAAGATAGAAGATTAAGATTAACGAAAGACACGAAACGATGAAAACTTTCATATCAGTTATATACACGTACATTTTTTTTCTAAATTATATTTTTTTATAATATTTTATATACACTTCGTGATATTTATTTTAAAATAGTTTTGTTCTTCGTTCCGAAAAAAACAGAAAATGATATAATTTGTAGCTGATGTGGTTAGCGATTTCACAATCGAATTGAAAAAATCCAGTGGACAGAATGGGTTGATTGTTCGCGCAGCGAGAAGCAAGTTGAATTCCAGGAAGCAAAATGTCTCTTTCGAGGGAATGAACGAACAGGGGCCACTGAAATCCATTCTCAGTCATGGTGAGTTTAGTCTTTGTATTACTATTATTATTCTTGCAAAATGATTAATCATTAAAAATGGCAATTTAGCGATTATAAGATAGCATAGCTATGAATTACGTATAAAGTGGAAGCAACATAAATTAATTAATTGATCAAATGATTGTTAAATTAACTCTCATACAGTATCGCCATGTAGGATATTTAAATTTATTTTGAACTTAATATTCTCCTGACTGTGAGAAATTTTGTGATAGAAAAAAATTATAAAATAAAATTAATTAAATTATATAATAATTAATAATAATTAATAAATTATAATAAATGAAAATTATTTAATAATTAATATAATAATTAATAAATTATAATAAATGAAAATTATTCTGCACTTCAATGACTCAATAATCGGAGCAAAAATGGACACGAGCACAAACAAGAATATACAAGAATTTCATATTCAAGAATATACATATTTGTATAAAATAATCGTGAGTCGAAATTGCCTCCAAATGGCAAAAGACTGCAACAAACTCATTGCGGAACCTTATGCCAAAAGCTTTTAATCTATTTTCGCCGTATCATAAAGCCAGTATTTTTCCGTAATTAGTAGTCGAAGAAAAAAGACTAAAATCGTATAGAGAAAAGCGACGTCGATAGACCTAAAAGTCGCGATTATGTATTGGCGATTAATGTATACTCTGCGTTTAAACCGCGGGACATGGCAAGCATGCGTGTAATTACGTAAAAGATGTGACTTGTAAAAAGAAAAGAAAAGAACGCTTTCTTTCGAAAGAGTCATCGTGAGAATGCGTCTTGTCGATTTCCTTTTATTCATCCATTCTATTTAAAGTTTAAGTTTTATCCATATATTTTCTAAATAATTCCTAAATATTACAAGTGTTTTGAATATTTTATATTACATATATTTCCATATCTTTACACGCATAATATAATAATTCATAAATATATCCGCAGTCGAACCACCAAAAATCTTCGTTATGATGTTTCCACAAATATTCCAAAAGTATTAACACTGCGACTATCTAAAGATAAATTTTTCACAGAATTTTCCTAAATTTACAATTACTTGTATTTCTAACAATTGAAACGATTTTTCTCTAAAAATTTTCTTATTCTTATTCCTTACCTGCTTTGATTTCTCCGACACAAATTTCTTCAGTCTTTCCAGTGTTGATCAATTCTAGTAACGAGAAATTTACTAGTCAATTCCGAGGAATCATTTTCGCTGTTCTTCGCCGAGGGGGACGCACCTTTTGCGCGTAACTATAGAAAACAATGGAAGAAAGTAAAAGTGGCCGGGTGTATTGACATCGATCGACCGAAGTAAAAGCGTGCCCATTTTCAGTGGACGTCTTAATGCACCCCATGACTGTCCATCCGCGATGTCCAGCGTATTAACTCGCTTAATCATAGATTCATCGTTGACTTTCGTCCGCAGGTTTGATGGCTGCGGAGGCGGTTGCCGCGATGCTCGCCGACGACCTGGCTACCAAGGCCCTCAACGACAAAACAGCGGACGCGATGATTTACAGAATGTACAAAAACCTTCCGGTCAATTAATTCCGGTGTCGAGGACAACATCTGTCGTTCAACTGGACTTTTGTAACTCCCACAGGTTATACGTATATTGTGCAACGTTGGTTGTCGTATAGTGCTCAAAATAATTCTTTCTCTAGTAGGACGATTTATCGCAATCTTGGCGATTTGGAATTGAAATTTGAACCTTTGAACATTTATATTTAAATTGGTTTGAAAATTTATATTTAAATTGGTTTGAAAGTCAGTTTGAGAGTTAAATAATTGAATCGAGAATTTCTTAATCGAGGTGGTTTATTATATAGAAGAATAATTGAAATGGAAGGTTATTTGTTAGTTGGTATTTATCAAGAAGAAACTTTTGCAACCACACTGTTTTTGAAAATTTGTTTAAAGCGTGAGGATTTATGAGATTTAAGAATATCTCAGCAATAGAAAGATGGATACAATTATTTTGAGAAGAATTATTTTTTAAATTTATTAAATTTCAGCAATTTGGTGATCTTGGAGAAGATGAATACTTATTGCAAGGATAAGTAATAGGGGATGAGATTGATTATTATTTTGAGCAGTATACGAGATCAAATTGCTTGCACTGAATTTCATTCAATAATTGCTGAAACGTTTAAAGAAATTGATTTCTTTAATCAATCTCTTGACTTTTAATCAATAATTGCATGCACTCGTTTATTTACTTATTTATTTACCTTTGTTGGTTTCATCTATTTATCGAGTGTAACATTGAAGAATTATTAACTCGTTAATAATTAGTAACATTACATTTTACTTTATTTTGTATAACTGTATGTAGGTAACTGTACTAGTATAAAATTTCATGCATATATTTATTGCACACATGTTTGACGTTACATACGCTTATTACAAATATCTTATATGTATACTGTAAATCATTCTAGTTTAATTCGTAGAACTTGTGCTTAAGTCATCAATCATTTCCTCCCCTCAGAAACACTATTTTAATGAAATCATTTCTCGAAAGAGAATTCTTCAAACTTTCCGGGACATTTGAATTTCAATTCTCTTTCAAGAAATTTTTTTTTTTTTCAAATCATTTTCCCAAAGAAACATGTTTCAGGGATATTTGAAGTTTCTTGAGAGTTTTCAGACCATGACAAATTCAAGTGATTCCTCTTTAGAATCCAATTAATTATGATGTTTCGTCCAATTCGTCTATCGTTTAACGTACAGGAGAAATTACAAGGAAACATTGTAAGAGTTTACAAAGAGAGAGAGAGTCATAGAAAGAGGTGAAATAAATTGAGAATGAAAGCGATTAAACATAAATTCTTCGAATCGCAACTAATTCTTCTCAGAATTGCATTTTCTTATCACTGAGAGAGAAATAAAGCTAATCCACAAAACAATCCAATTCGTGTGCCATCCTACGATCTTCGATCACAGACGGAAAACTCGTTTTCCGAGTTGTCTGGTTGATTTGCAAACGGGTTCCCGAACGTTACGTATCATTCGTGACACCACCACGGAACCAGTCGGGATTCGTCAGATTTTACATAATCACATTTGGGAAATTCGAGTTACAACAACGTCGACCGATACTCGGGGAAAGTACTTGACAAACATGTGGAAATTCCAGAGAATCGGAAGTCTGCGGTAATTTTTCTTTTCATATTTTTAATCGATCGGACAATCTAGTTGTTAGATTTCTTCAATTATTGTTTCGAATTAATCAGGATACTGTCAGCGGTCTTATTTGGAATTAGATCGATGCTATCGAGTTTTAGTGTTACGTTTATTAAGATTAGAATATTAATATTATTTTTTACAACAGGATATTATTATACATAATTGGGTTATGGCATATTGTAATACGCTCTGAACACTTTCGTTATCGACGGATAGTAGAGACAAAGCGAAGTAATATCGATTGAATACTAATTTTTGGGAAAGAGCGATGAAACTTTTGTAACTGCAAACATAAAATTTAATGATACGAGAATTAAAATAATATAAAATTCTTTTTCGAAAGAATTTAAATTTCTTTAGGAAATAAGTCAGCGTGCGTTTAAAAATGCCCTTCACCAGACTCATTCGAATCTTCAAAAATTCACCGTAGACAATCTACAAATAATTTTCTACGAATCACGGATTAATTGTTTTTCTTCGCTCTAATATTTTTGTGGATATATTTAAAGATTGAGAAACACGCGTTAGTTATTTCTTTGTTTAATAGTTCAAGCATTGGAATAAATTGTTCTCTCGAGAAAGAAGTAATTGATACCTTCCGATCAACACTATATCAACAAAGTAGCTATCATAGAGCATACGGATGTATTAGATATTCGAACGACAGAACTACAACAAAAAGTAGAAAAGGAATTGAATCTGTTGAAATAGTGATCGACGTGTTCATTGACCGTATAACGATCTAATTTAAGTTATATAATATCTTTTTAGAATTTACTCTCGATATCAGAGTGAAAATGTGTGGATTTTCATGGGAACTCGTATTTTCGAGAATGAAATTATTTGAAAGATGCAGCGATACTTTATGCTTAATAATTAATTTTTATTTTAGTTATTCAAATGTTGTTGAAAGCATTCACGTTTCAAATGTTTCATGCACTTTCTCATACTAAAATTTTCTGTATTTGCATAGAAGTCCGACGTTATGACGTTAGAACTGGATCATGGAATATGGTTACACATTACGTGCAATAGTGATAAGTAGTAGTAGAATACTATCTCAAAGGGAAACACGGATTTTGCGTTACGAAATAACTTGGAAATAGAACTCGTGCGTAAATATAACTTACTAACATTATATTGCATGTTGTAAACGCAGATTGTAGGAATATTTCAATGTATTGGAGAATTAAAATATGAAATAAAAGGATTGATATAGAGAATGAATTTAATGTGTTCCTCACACACATTCCTATGTGTCACCTGATATTTCTCACCTGATAATCTCAATAATTTCGTAAAACATTACAATTGTAATTTCTTCATGTTCATTACATTAAAAAATCCCTTTCGCATCTCTCTTTTTCATTGATTTTATTTTATACCAAACATGAAGATTGCACTATATTTGTATAATTATAAAATTATAATTTTAATAGTACAGATTACAATCGATATAACAATATTATATATCGAAACCTATTGTACTATTAAAATTAAAAACAACATTAAATATTATTCAAAAAAGGAATAGGAACTTCTATTAAACGTAAACTTTGTTGCATCATAAATCTCCTCAAGAAACCTTCAATAAAAGTAGCTTGAAAGTTGGCACGAGCTACGAAATTATCAACGTCCAAGAATTACTTAAAACTCTGCAAAAGAAAAAAGACCATCAATTTCAACGAACGAATTTCATAGAAAGTTCGCAACATTTCACGATTAGCATTAAAAAAAAAAAAGAAAATAATTAACGTCTCGAACTTTCTGCAAAACAACACACAGAATGATTCACGATATTTGTGGTTAGGTGTTGCAAACGGGTCGTTGCAAAATCTTAGGAAAATTTTATCCTAATGTAAATAAATTTTATCCTAATTTATCCTAATATAATAATATAATTATAAGATATTATTATTAATAATCGAAACTTTTCCAACTTGCAGTAAAAAGAATTTTCTCTGAACGACGATTTCCCGATACTATTATTTTCTTTTATCGCGTTCTTTCGAAATCGTGAAGAATCACGCGAAAACATCAGGCAGAATTTCCAACAAGGACGCAATCATCATTAGGTTAACGACGAATCATTGCGAGGAAAATTATAATCGCTATTCTCGGCCAGTGGCGAGAGAAATTACAATGCAGGATGTTGTTAGAGGAAGCTGTAATCGACGGAAGACATTATTGGATGCAAAAAAAGGTTAAAATAAAATTCAATATACACATGGTACGAAGGAGAAATAGAATTTTGTTGTCCGATGGTTTAATGTCTGAGTGAGAATTTTGTTTGTTAGGGAATTTATTAGAAAAATGTAGATGAATGACAGATTACTCATTTTTAAAAATAAAGAAATCTGATCCTCACTCTAAAGAATTTTATTTCAGGTTATTATGTAAGCAGAATACAACTTTTATGGAAAAGAATTGAATTTTTTATACTTCACTTTTAAAGGATATAATATTCTAAATTATCAACCATATCTAATTTTGACAATTTCATCAATAAATAAAAGAATCGATGAAAGATTATTCCAAAGTTATATATAACTAGTATTAAATGTATTACCTATTTGTAATTTTCTAATATTTTTTATTTGTTAGATATTAAATCAGTTTATTGATATATGTATCTAATATTGTTGAAACTATAAAACGTTGTATTTTAAAACTATGTTTAGTGATAATAATATTTTATGGATACGAATGAAACACTTTAAATGGACAATATACTATAATAGCGAGTTAATCGATGAACCAATTTGACGCTCTGAAACAAATAAATAAAGTTGAGACATAAATTTTTGTTTACAATAATATAGTACTGCAAAATATCATTTGAAACTATAAAATTACTTATCACTTACAACTGGACCATAAATATTTATATAAATTTGAGAATTTTCAAGGGGCAGTTGAAATGAAAACTTGTTTCGTGTACTAAATATTATAAATATTATAACGAGTAATTTACTTCAGATATTTTTTGCGTACCTTGTGAATCCCATAAAATTTCGCATTCATAAATCATGCACTCGGAAGTGCATAAATACGGGCAGCTTGCTCTTAATGTATAGTAATGTATAATATATCAACGTGTTTTACAGAGGCGAGCCATCAGCCACGAGAAACGAGCGATTTTTTCTACAAGTGCAAACATAACTTTCTACAGTTTGTCCGATTATTATATACTACAATATTATGTAAATGTAAAATCGATTGCTCTGGAATTTAAATTCTGACTTCTAAATAATTAATGATTCTTACTTTCCAGAGTCGACCACAAGGAAGCTTGCGACAATTGTGTAACGTGCGCATTATATAATTCTACTCTCGACATACTTAATCTGTTATTTAATTATTGAATTTTCTTTTAACGATTGTAAATACACAGTTAAAACTTAATTTACTACTAAATGATGCATTTAATTTTGATAGATTCGAGCTGCAAACCCGTACATATAGCAAGCATCTAATTTGCACTTAAAGATATTTCTAAAATTATTTGCAATTTTTTAATTATGAAAAGACTTGACGAAGTTAATTGAGTAATTGCTATCACGTGTTAAATATTACGTTAAGATGATCTCTATTTGTTCTCTGGACGAATTTCAGTTGCTAAATTTTTACTTCGTTTGTATAATATGTATATCTCACGTACAAAATAGCACGCAGTGAATAGTATATTAAATAAAAATATATTAAATAAAATAGTATTTTAAATATTATTATTTAAATTGTTTTCCTTAAGGTGTATTGTTAAGTATTTATTTATTTATGGAAGAATAGTTTCTTCGATGTTAATATTAATCTAAATGTTGCATCTTGTAGTGAATTACAGTGTAAAATTAATAAAAAGAATTTAAACAATACAACTGGAAAGATTGAAGAAATTATTCTATCAAATAAAGCTTACTGTCATTGAAAAAGGAAAAGGTACAGAACCAAGACAATGGAACATCTCACAGATTAAATCGCATCCTGCTTTCCGAAATTTCTCACCAAAGTCTAATTGGACGAATAACAATAATAAATACAGAGTTTACCCAAAAAAAAAATTTAAGAAAAAAAAAGAAACAGAGATAAAACAAAAGAACTGTTGTCACTAAAGAGGGAAACACAAAAATTGAGAAAAAAATTAATTAAAATGTTACATCTCGCTTCACCTCAGCAACAGGTTAAATCCTCCACGTCCTTCGTCCTTCCCCCAACAAAATTTGTACTGGCGATTAGAACAATCTCGACTTACCTCCACGCGACGAGCAACGCAAATTTGATCAAATGCAGGACAGTGTGCATGGCTACGGCCCTGACTGAGTTAAAAGAAGGCATTCTACCGTGATAAATTCTACCATCGAGTGGGGCGGCGTACACTCGGAGAAAGTGCCGTTAGTTCATATATACCGAGGCAGCGCGGGCCATCGTACGCATTTTCAATATCGCTCTCGCTAATTTCGATCGGCGCTGATACGTAGATCACGTCCACCTGACACCAGATAGCGACAGGATGACGTTGCTGATCGGATTGTTACTGGTTGCCAGCTGGACCGGGGCTGCCATCGCCGGACTACGTGAGTATAGCATTTTGATTTCTCCGATTATTAACTCACCGAGGACCAAAGTCGCATCGAGGAACAATTGTCTTCATTGTCTTCACGTTTGGTTTACAGTGTTAAAATTTATTTTTTCTTTAGAAAGAAAGAAAGAGACAATTTCAACAGATTTGAGTTATTTCTGCCACGATTTTATAATTTTAATTTTTTTTTTTTTTTTTTTGTTTCTTGCAAAGTTTTAGGTGTGTTTTAATTATATTGAGAATATTGAACTATTCTTCTTTATAAGAGGATGAGATATAGATGTGTTTTAGTTTGAGAAAGGTCTATTCTTCTTTGGGTAAAACTCTGTCCCTTTCGAGTGTAATTTTATTTCTCATATGGATATAATTTAACTTGAATGAAAGTCGAAAGCAGTTGTTCTTGAGTAAAATTCTATTCCTTTGAAGCATAGAAAAATTTTAATTTTGAAATATATGGTGTGATATATTTTCCAAACAAACACAAAGATATAATCGATTATCTATCGATTTCGAAGAAGAAATTTTAAAATAATTCTTTATACAAATCTGTAAAATTATTGTGATAAACTTAAAAATGTGGAAAGTAATAATATCGATAAAATAGTAATTAAACATAACATGATTTGAGAAAAAAATTCACAAATCTAATTAATTTCATGATACTTTATAATTGTCACTATGGTAAGAAATTGAAGAATATGGTACTAAGAATTACAAATATGTGTAGTGCCAGTTAAAAAAAACTCAGTGATTAATACTTATATGGTAATCTGATGTACTAGTTTTAGAACGTTGACAGAAACACGCAATTGCTCACAACTTTTGTTTAAAAAGGTTACAAGGATAAATGAAAAGTTGTTGATATCATAGCTACTCGTAATTCAATTTTATCATTCAAATTCATTTCATTAATGCATGTATATCAAATATAAAAAGAAGTATTACTATTTATATTCGAATCAACTAGAGACTTCATCTTATTTTATGAGTTAAAATAACTGAGTTTTTTTTCCTATAGGCTAACTTAATTAATTCTATTGAAATTTACTGCTATTATCGTAACAGCTACTGTTACTTCATCGTCATTACTCACATATGTACATTATCACTTTTCATATTTTTGCATTATATAAATTAAATGTACGTAGACCACTCAATTTACGAAATGTGAATTGCGTTTATACTATTTCTCATATTTTAATAAACACCAAAAAACTCTTCCTATAAATAGGCTAGAGTATAGTGAAGCAGCTGAAGTTTGTCTGACTATAAGCAACCTAAACTACTAACTAGTATTGTTGTAACAACTTCGTTATTAATAAATACATGTATAATATAGAAAGATATATTATTTTTTATATTTTAATGATATAGAAAAGGGAACTCATATAAATCTTAAACCACTGTAAAATTACTGAGGAATAAAATAATTGAGAATTGGTCTGACTAAAGACCAACATTCTACTTAAATAGGTCGTCTACTTTGTCTCTTTTGAATGCGGTGTAATTGAATAAAAATCTATGACATTTTAATCAAAGTTCAAGTGAAATATGATTCTAAAATCTCCATTGATCGTTTTGACAAACATGAATTGTAAATATTCCATTGAAAGGCGACGTAATATTGAACTTCTTTATGAAAGAAAGTATTTGAAATTTAGATTTAGAGGCAGAGAAATATGAATACATTTATTAGAAATAATAAACTATACTGTCGTTGTATACTGTCGTTGAAATTTTACATTAATTAGTCAGAGTATTTATTAAATTTCAAATATTCGCTGTAACATAATAAATTAATATAATTGACGAATAATACTTGAATACTTTCAATTAGAAAATTTATGATAAAGAAAAGTATATAATGTTAAGTATTTGCAATTGTGTCTCAATGTTTTCAGTGAAAAATTGAGAAATTGCCCTCGATCGAATTGGAATGGAACAAAATGGAAATAAATAGTATTTTACGAATTTACAGTGATTACGGTGCGTTAGTCGATTTCTTGGAACGAATTTGTCAAGGAGGAAGAAACTTGTTTCATGAGAGAAAAGTTACAGAAAGCGAGAGAGGACGTTTAGAAACTTTATCGTCCGATTAACTTTCGATGTTATAGCATAAGTTGACACTTGCAAACAGCTGTTAAAGGTAAAATGACGTAGTGTGACGTAATGGACGTGTCGAACAGTTTCGAGAGTGGTTTTCGATATTATCGAACGTGGAGAAAGGGATTACAGAAAATAGAATTGAACTTTGTTCCTTGAATTTCCTTCACGCTCCAGTAAACACGAATTTCGTTGCTCAATAGAATTAGAAAATTATTTTTATGAAATAAGAGAGCGATTCAGAGGACGTTTGCGTTATTTTGTTAAATTATTTACATGTATACAAAATTTCAGATAATTCTTTATTTAAAGGTGCAAGAAAATGATTGTAAAAAACTAAACGTAGATCGAAGTTTGTATTCCATTATTTTTATTGGGAGGAAGAATGAAATAAAGGAGTAAAAAATAGGAAAAAGTAGAGTTGAATGATATTAACAGAAAAAAAAAAAAAAAAAAAAAACACTTTTTCGGAAGTTTTCACTATCTTTTATGTTTTGAGATAGAGGATATTAAATTCTACAAAATTTCTGTCTACGCAAAACTTTCAGTTCAACAATGCACTCAAAACTTGACCAATGTAATCGTGACAGTCACAGTTAATGTAGATATCAATGAAACTTCAAAATAACGTTCTACATAAAATTCCATAATATTACCGAGACTTAATTAAAATTTCGTCAATGAACAAGACGCGCGTCCAACGTTTCATTCGCGAAATGATTTTCGAAGCAAACGTCCAAATATCCTCTCGAATCACAGTCACAGTCACGCGAAACGTCCCTCGATAAGAGTAATTTCACCTTCAAATTCCCAATCAACGTCATTGTTACATCTCCCCGCTGTTTACCGCGCCTCGAGCTCCGCGAATCGATCGAACACTTTTTCATCGATCGTTTAGAAATTCGGGTCGAACAGACCGGCTCTCCTTTCACAGAGAGCGAACCCCGATAATCGCCCGTTCGAGATCACGACGAACGATCAATCGTCCTGGACGATCAGCTCTTTCTAGCTATCGGCGATCTATCAATCAGCAAACAACGTATCGATCCTTTCTCGAACACGCGTGTGCCTCCTCTTCTCCTCGAGCGATCGAGAGCCACGCCATTACGCGGAATTGGCAGAAAAAGCGCGCGCGCACGCACGCACGGCCAGCGTAATTTCACTTTCTACCGAGAGCCAGTGTATTCACTTTCGATTTTAGGCCTGGTCTTCGACGATCGGTAAAAAGAAAAACGAAAAAAAAAAAAAACAGAAAAAATGCACCATCGAATGGTCGTTCAGTAATCCAAGGTTTCAGCCAGTTTTAGCTGCACGTGAGTTGAAAAGCTGGAAAGGAACGGGAGGGTTTGATTTGTTCATGGTATAATAGGACCACTTTCCGTGACAAGATGTTGAAACGCGGGTACAAGAAATGTTAACGTGTAAATCCTAAAAATCAAGTGACACGTTTAATTTTTTTATCGAGCTCTAAGTTTCATTTCTGGGATAAGGATGTTTATGTAAAAAAATTTTGTACAAATTTGGAAAATGAGTCAAGTGTAGTTAATTACAATTCAATTGCCGAATTTTCGCGCAGCTGTGGATCAAACGATTTGGAATTTCATGTACTTGATAATATTTAATTAATTAGAAGTCAAAGCTATTGATCAAATTTAATTACGAAATATAAAACGTCGATCTATCTCGCCTCGGGTACTGAAATGTGCGTCCGCGTTGCTTAACGCGGTGAAAATCAGGCCATTTAAATTGCTTGAACTGCGACCAACTAAAATAATTACGGGATTAACAAACACACGAGTCGTGCTTTTCACCGATTGGAATGCCTGGATCCCTTTCGCAACGTAAATGGAAGTTTTGCTAAGTCACGCCAGCTGGACGCATTTCTTCTGCAAATGCTTTTATGCTACATCTAAAGATAATTAAACAGAGATATTGTAACAATCGAATTCCCAATTAACAATTTCTCTAACATCTGGAAATATTTTTAATTTCCAGAAAGAAGATTCGAGAAAAATTTTGCAATTAATCTGTGAAAAATTTTACGCACAGCAGAAGAAAGAAGAAAATAGATAACGATACATGGCAATTAAATTAATGATCATTATTATGAAACTATTATTACAAAAACATATAGTAATATTATTATTACCATAAAATTATCATCAGAAATAACTTGCTGTAAATTAATGATTATTATTATGAAGCTATTATTACAAAAACATAGTGATATTATTATTCCCAATTAACAATTTCTCTAACATCTGGAAATATTTTTAATTTCCAGAAAGAAGATTCGAGAAAAATTTTGCGCACAGCAAGAAGAAAATAGATAACGATACATGGCAATTAAATTAATGATTATTATTATGAAACTATTATTACAAAAACATATAGTAATATTATTATTACCATAAAATTATCATCAGAAATAACTTGCTGTAAAATCATTGTCATAAAATTACCAGAAAATTATCAAAGACCGTTATTAATAAAATTTAATGAAACAACCTTTGAAATAAAAGAAGAAGAAGAAGAAGAAGATAAATTTTCTTTAAAAAAAAAAGTAATATCTTCGTCTTGTCGTTGCGTTACAATTAATTGTAGCTGTTCGTTATTGTATCAAATTGTAAAAATCCAAATCTTTCTATCTTTCACTGTCGCCAACGTTCTGATACATTATTACATCACATTTTGCAGCACCTGGTATACAATCTTGTCCACGAACGCTCGACCTGGGACAATACGACAGTTGCGTGGTGCAGCGATTGAAGGCTATAACACCGTACTTGGCCAAGGGAGTCCCGTCCTTGAAGTTGCCGGCGCTAGATCCCCTGTTCCTGCCGTCGTTGACGGTGGACAGAAATCTGGATTCGTTGAAGATCAAGGCGAACATGAGCCAGATCCGTGTGCACGGCGCAACGAATTTCATCATCGACGACTTGAAGGCCAATCCGAACGATCTGTCGGTGCGTCTGAAAGTTCAGCTGCCCCACGTCCACGTTAACGGAGATTACGATGTTCAAGGGAGGCTGCTCCTACTTCCGTTGAACGGTGTTGGCAGTTTCAAAGGAAATTTCAGTGAGTCTTAAAGAAAGCGTTGTATCTGTCACAAAACTGGACGAAAAAATTAAATGACGCTTTAGAAAAATAATGATTAAACTTAACATTATAGTAAATTTTATTATAGTAAATTATTATTATTATATACTTAAATAGCGTATAATAGTATATATATTTAATACTTAAATATATATACTTAATATTATTATTATAGTAAATTATTATTATTATTATATACTTAAATAGCGTATAATAGTATATAATAGTTTAATACTTAAATATATGTACTTAAATATATGTACTTATTATTATAGTAAATTATTATTATTATTATATACTTAAATAGCGTATAATAGTATATAATAGTTTAATACTTAAATATATGTACTTAAATATATGTACTTATTATTATAGTAAATTATTATTATTATTATATACTTAAATAGCGTATAATAGTATATAATAGTTTAATACTTAAATATATATACTTAATATTATTATTATAGTAAATTATTATTATTATATACTTAAATAGCGTTCTTTACTATATTAATATAGTAAAGAACGCTATTCAAATAATAAATAAAATTAAAAAATATCCTCTTCTGTTAGATATATAAATTAACTCCGCGTGTTACGATCAATTTCTACAAAAAGACAATCGTCGAAATAGATGTCACCACTTTCTATATATGTTATATACTTCTTTCGCTGAATTGTCACGTAAATTTTTAAACCTTCAATTTAAATATATTTGAATATTCGTGTGACTCACAAATTTCTTTCACTGTTACAGCTAACACGGAGGCGCAAGTAACTGCCCAAGGCAAAGAAATAACTGATAAGAACGGAGTGCAGAGAATCGAAATTGATAAGCTAGTGACGAAAATTCGCGTAGGAGACGGGAACATTAGACTAAAAGCGCCACCTTCTCACACTATAGCTGGTAAGTTTATTCTTGTCTTTTCAGGAAAAGATGAATTAGTTGAATTCTATTTGAAAATCTATTCCTCGTGCAAACATTCTTTAATGATCAGTTTAAACTAAAATAAATATAAAAATCGCTTTCAAATTTCTCCGTAAAATTTTCGGTGACTTAAACATGACAAAAGTCTTTCGTTCTAAATGTCCTTAATAATCCACTTCAAACAGTAAAAATTTCTTTTTATTCGTACTCAAACATTTTTTCTTTTTTCTTTAATTAAATTGATTCTTAAATAATTCAACATTTCCTAATAATATAATATCAATAGTATTCATAATATATTTGACAAATATCTAATAATTAATAATAATAATAATAGTAATATGATAAATAATTCTAATAAAAATAATAATTTGTAAATATTGAATCTAGCACAAGAAAACAGTTATCCTATTCTTCATTTATTCTCTAAACAAATACATGTACATATATATGTGTACAATTACAAAATGAAATCATTTCTTAAATCCTTCACTTAAATCTCTCGTCATTGAAACGTGATGAAACTTCTCTCAATTAAAATAACATTTAATTATAGTTAATTGTTAATAATTCAATGTTATTAGAACTCTTCATTTTCTCTCGTTTGAGTCAATATCCTCAGATCTTTCTCAACGACCACAGTCCGCGAAGCTTTTGTCCAACTTCCTCCCTTCTTCGTTCCCCGATCTATCCCCATTTCTTTCTTTTTCTCACCTTCCCGTGCAATTTCGCCTTTCCAGCTGACGCAGCGGCCACGTTCTTCAACTCGAATCCACGCTTAGTCCTGGACATTGCCAGCCCGATTATCGAGGACACGGCGGCGACTGTTAGCAGAGCATTGGCTGCTAGAGCGTTGGGGGCTCTGACAAAAGAGGAATTACTACCCTAGTCCACGTTCATCACGTTATGTGATCCCATAATAGGTAATCGTGTAGTACGTTTAGACACGTTTCCTGTCGCGTGAGTTATCAGCTTATTCAATAATTCGTATTAATTAATAACTTAATTTCAATGTGCAGTAGATTGGCGTGTCGTCATCGTGTTTTGAAACTTAACTCTGGCACAGCAATGATAATCATTCAAAATTTTGTCCAGTCGTGAATTACAGCTACGATGAAAAAGAGATTTAGTACGTGATAGAAATTCGTTTTTGTATTGTAACTTGTCGAGTAATTTATACTCGCTGCTTATCCATTTTTCTCCACTACTGGTGGTTTTTCGTATTTTATCCAGTCTTATGAATATATTTTATAATGGTACGGTATTCTGAATTATCGTAGGCATGATTCGAATTAATTTTAATATTGAAAATCAGATCGATAGGAAACGCGTTAAGGTGAGAAGAATTTTCTTAATCTTTCTAAATATTTAGATAAGACACAGTGCTGTATATTAGATACAATTTAATGTGATTAACTGTAGAATTACAATTATATCATCACTATAGCTTATATTGAAAATCGTTCGAACGGCTCTCGTCAAAGAGAAAGAAAATGATAATTTCCATTTTCACTTGCAATGTAATTGTTATGCATTATAAAATTGTTGGAAAGGATTATCACGTGATTTAAAAACAACGAGCATAATCAATCTTCGAAAGAATTAGAAAAAAATTTAATTGACTGCTTGATCAATTTCTAGCACTTGCACTTTTAAATGTCACATTCTAAGTGACTGAATATTCTCAGAATTTATTCTTTTAATTACAATTTATTTTCATCATTATCTTTCGTTTGAATTCTATTCTTTGATCGAGACGTTTTAATTGCGTTGTTGGACATAAACATGTAACACTAGACATAGAAAATCTATCTATTGTTATAATTACATAATAGACATAGAAAATAGATAAAGATACATAAAATATATTTTTGAATATTTTATAGAATAATATAAAAGCGATTTTTCTTTAAGATGTATATAAATTTGTGTTTTAACGTGGACGATGGATATTAAGTTTTGGATATAATTGATTTTGTGATTTTTTTTATACAATTTATTACTACAATTGTACAATTGTTCGTTTCATTTTATTAGAGAACAAATCCCAATGACTGGCAGTAATTATTCGCCTATTTGTCGTCTGCTTAACAAATTAGAGTATAATTACACAATTCTATACAATCGTAAAATCATTGTTGTCTATTTTTTTTTTTTTCTTTTGATATCTCGTTTGATTGATCGTTCGTTGCTTTTATAGTAAGCAATATAGTAATAAATGTTATAACAAATTTGAAGTAAATATTTATTTTATTATGATATTTAACAATGTACACCCTACATCTATCTACCTATACATTTCAAATCCACACCTAAATATTTTTGGAAATTTCACGTATACATGCTTACAGCTTTTTTTCAATTATTTTCCAAGAATTTTTCAAAAACTTATTTCAAATGATTTATTTACCAAATTTTTCAACAATTTCTATAAACAATTCATACTTCTCAAATCTTACATAGTAAACGAATTGGGTCATTGAAGACCCAAAGAAAAATTTCATCCTCGAATTTGAAATTTTCGCTAAAATCTTTTGAAACGTGTAACTCACCAGACACTAACAAATACGCAGAAGATATCGACAAATAACAAACCAGAATATTTGTAGATTTTTTGAGGATCTAGGAGAGTGAAGGAAATTGATTTTAGTGGCAAGGATGTGCCGATGTTAAGAAACAAAGAATAAAAATAGAGAGCTGTAGAAATTTTTACAAAACCACCCGGGAACCGAAGTCTAAGAGACAGAAAAATCGAAAATTTAACCTTCTGGAAACAGTTCTTTGTACGTGAAGGACTTTGTGATTTTGTTGGTCACGTCTGTGAAAAGTTCTGCCAACGATGTTTCCAGCACCGGTGTAATTTCGTTCAATATCAGGTCGTTATTATTGTTTATCAACTCGTGAGTAGCGTCAGCTAATTGAAAGAGAAAACACGTAATTAACATCTCGTGAAATAGGCAACGAAATTCATTATTTTTCCTCATTTAGAGCATTTAAATTTGAATTTTTTTCTCAGTTCAAATATCTCTTGCTTTATTTCAATAATTAATGTTCTAATTTGTGATTCGTGACAAAGCAAGGTTCATTCGTTATTACCAGGATCTCAGAGTTAATTAGGATATCGAAAATTATTTACAATTCTTTAAAATTTAAATTGTTTGAAATAAATTATTAAGAAGAGTGTCTAACGCGACAGTTGGCTTACCAAGAACATTGTCACCGCCGAACAAATTACTGAGGTGTAATTGTGCCCTGCCAATTTTGATCTTCAGCTTCATCTTCTCAAAATTCAGATAGACATCGTTGCCTCTGTGCAGTTTGCGCGCTCGTAGAATAACGTCCGATTCGTAGTCGGCTTGAAAAATAAAAATAAATGTACAACACGTAGCAAATAGAATTTTCATAAATCTGTTTAAGATTCATAGTATAGGACTAGTTTGCAAGGACTCATTGTTTCGTCCTCTTGGTATTTGGAGGATACTGAAAGGATCTGACTATTATTATCAATTTCGATGTTTTTTAAAAATCTCTTTAGAAATAGTTACTGAAGGTTCCAGTGATATCTCCCTGGCCTGTCACTTTCAGCAAAAGTATCGTTGCGTCGATCTGATATTTCCCTTGGAACGTTAGCTTGTCGAAGTTGATCTTGAAGGTGAAGACCACGTTCTCGACATCCGCCTTAAAGTCACGAATTTTAAAAGTGGACGGACCAGACACCTGTTCTCACATAAAACGTAAATTGTTCGTGAACGAAATCAATCGAGCACTTGCGTTAAGTGAGGTAAAAATAATTGTCGCATTTAAGAGGAGAAATATCTGAAAAGAAGAGTATCGTTAAAAGTAGCTGAACTTTTGAAACTTTTGACAACACTTTTGACAATTTAATCGGCTGAAAATGGAAAATGTCGGCGGCTAAAGAAAATTTCGAGCGTGTCTGTTTGACATTTAAACTACTGAATAGATAAAGGAAAGATACTGATCCAAAGTAAATGTCGTGCACGATCAACTCATCGACATTTGAAAGGAAATTTTGAAATTCATAGCCATTCGTCTCTTTGTTATTTAAATTTTTGAAGACAAAATAGACGTTGGTTGAAGAGAAAATGTCAAATGCAAGTAACTCTTTGACACGAAGAAAGGAGAAAATCTATCATTCCAATCTTCTCAAAAAATTTTTGAAAAGACACCTCACTTTTCAATGCGAGAAGTAACGAAATTTCAAAAGACTGCTACAAGGAAAGTGCAGAATGACGCTGTCCAGTGCCAAAAAGGGGAATCTTTACGAATTCGTATGAAAAATTGAAGAGAATAACAAATAACAAGGAAAGCACTGCATGCTACGTGTGAGATAAATATACGAAAAAAAAATAGAAGAAGAAGAAGAAGAAAAATTCTCTCCAACTTGTCATTCGTAATAATATTCTGAAATGTGTCAACTTCTACGTAATACGCGTCAGTGCTTTTTCAACCGATAATTATCAGCATAAAAAGGTCAGATGATATTGATCGACGAGGAACTCTCTCCATTCCGCTAATTTACCCGCATGTCCGTGAGATTGACGTCAAGCCTGGCTCCGACTGGTCCTCTGGACAGACGTATTTGTTTGAGGTTCAATGGTTCGATGGGCGGTGCGTCAAGTTCCGGTATTCCAACTGATAATTTATCACGAAGCTGTTCTATCGATCGGACGATGCATTTGTTGATGTCCGGATCGCTCTTCTTGCACGGCTTTATGTAAGGCGCTGCAAGAATTGAGCAATTGCTCCAACTGGATTTGCTGTTCAACGTCGGAGTCGCCGGCCATATTATTATTACGCGTATTACTATAAGGAAAAACGTATATGTGGTCGATCAGGATCGAGGTGTCAAGGCGTTAGGAAATTCGGAACGAGAATCCGGAAAGCAGCAATTAGAGATTGGGAGATTGAGAATTTTTACTCTCTGCTTTTCATTATCGCTTTGATAATTTAGAGTTAAGTGGCTTTTTGATCCATTTTGATCTCTAATTTTTCTTTTTTCTAACTTTAGAAATTCGTATTTTTCTTGTTAATACGTTTCTAGTATTATTCTATCGATATTTTAACTTTCTGTTTCATTAGCATTTCTAAGTTTGAAGGTAAAGTGCAAAAATCATCGTCTGGTTCACATATTCAATGTTTATAATTAAACTTTAATAATTATAATTATTATATTTATAATTAACTTTGGTAACATTCAAAGTTTATATAATTGAACTTTAATAATTTGGAGATCTGAAAGTATTTGAAACGAGATGAGACTGAAGCGTGAAACTTTGAGAAACAGAATAATAGGGTTGAAAAGAGATTAACAATTAAGAGATCAAGAACCAGAAAGATTATAATTCAGCAAACATCCAAACCTAGCCATGGAATTAAAGACGTACGAAATCGCGGTGAAAGAATTAAAGAATTAAAAATCAAACATGCGGAGGACTAAAAGTAACAAATAAAGAATAAAAAGTAAAGAGTCAAAGATCAAAGGTCAGAATCAAAGAGTTGAAAATGAGGTAGCAAGGAAATTAGAAGTTAGGAATCAAGGATTACAGACAAAGAATGTGTATAGTAATTAAGATTCAATGATCTCGAATTAGAAATGAAGAAGAAAATAATTGGTAATCAGGAAACGTGAACGACATTGCTTTAGCAAAAAATAGTGTTATTCTAAGAAAGCGACCAAAACATCATTGACTTGTTATTATGACGTAAGGTGTTTAATCAGTGTTGTTGACATTGATATTTAATTATAGATTCAAAAGCTATAATTACTATTACCACAAACACGTACATCATGCTGAAAAAAAATTTACAACTCAAATGTCTCTTTGCAATTATACATCACGCTATTTTCCAACAATTATTTATCGTATCATTTCATGCACAATCGCAAGGAAATATTGTTAATTATTACTAATAATGTGCTACTATTTTACATTCAACTTAACTTAAAAAATTAACATTCGGAACTAAATTTTCATCAAAGGTCGTTTTGCACTTTATAATATTATTGCTTATTATTATATATTGTTATATTCTTATATATTATTATTATTATATATTGTTATATTGCTTATTATTATATTCCTTGAAAAACTGTAAAATTTAACAAGGAAATGCACGTAATGAATTTTCTATCGGAAAACCGTGTTTTCCATTTAATTTGTCAATTTGTCAACAGCTCGTCGAAAATCTTACATTTCATCGGTGCTGGAAGAGACGAAGTTTTTATTTGCTCAGTTCGATTTAATTTGGAAAACTGGATTTAACTTATTTTTTTCGGAACGAATGTCGTCAGAACGAGCCAGATCTTGATCCCAAATTGAACGAGCTCAAGGACGTGAATACCGCCCAAGTTAAAAAAAAAAAAAAGAAAAAAAAATCGAAAGCAGCGCAAGAGATGTCGTGTGAAATGCACGCGACATACTTCTATTTTTCTACGAAGAGTCGCTGTTGGACTTGGAATTTTGTAATCGACAATTAGTGCCAACTTCCTCCCGAGTTACATGTCGTTGGCATTAAGCAACGCGTAAAAAATTGACAGAACTAAATGGGACGATTAATTCATCTGAAATTCTTGTGGACCGATCGATCGAGTGTATTGTTGATTGTAGCGAGTATTAGAACGTTATTATCATTATTGATCATAGACAATTCCCTCTCGTTTAAGAAAATAATGCAAAATTTTTGCTAAAAATTGTAGACATTTTTTTTCAATTTACAATCTTTTCTATTTCTGATTGTTTATCCTTTCATTTCTGATTTAATCGCCTTTTTATTGTATGGAAATACTTACGTAAAACAGCGAATGCTGCAGTGAACAGAATGGCTGTTAAGCTGAAAAAAAAAGGGAGGAAATAATTAAGTGCTGTTGCATTATACTTTATTATAATTATAATTTTAAATTGTTTCTAATAATTTTCTATTTTGGAGAGGATGATAAAAACTAGTGTTTTATCTTTCTCAATTTAATTTCTGTCGTTTTATGAGAAATTTGAATCGCATTTAAAAAAAAAAAAAATAGAGAGAAGGAAAGAAGTAACAGAAATGTAAATACTGTTGCGTTTTTAAAAGAATGTAACTAGGTGTATTTCGTTTTATATAATACCTACTAATTACTAATTATAATCGTATACCGTCCAACTAACTAATTAACGAAATTTATTTACGATGAATATAAACGAAAAAGTCTACTATAAATAAATAATTACATAGTTGCTCGTGAGTAAACGTATGGTCATTAAAAAACTGCGTGTCTAAATGCAGGAAATTCTTTATAAAAAAATAACGCCAAGATTGTATTGTAAAAAAAAAAATAGTATTTTAACTGCGATTCAGTATAATTCGCCACGATAATATACGAAATATGAAAATATGTTGAAAATTCGTAAAATAAAGTTACGCAACAATTGCTACGTATTTCAAAAAATGTATTAATTTATAAGGGCGTAATTCGTCGTTGAATAATCGATTGGAACAAAAAAAGGAAATAATTGAGAGTAGTATTGCATCAGTATTTCCAGGCTGTGGTTTGTGAAACTTTATGTCTTCCGCGTTTTACAATCTTGCAAATTGTCAGCGTGCGTTAGTCACTGAAGAAACATTTCTCGTACCCACGTTTTTTTTTTTTTTTATTGTAGAATTTAAATTTTACACATTGTGTGCGTTTTGACGTCTTCGTTGCAATACTTTGATACACACATATGTTCTTGTGTTTTCACCGTTCCACAGAAAAGCAAAATTAGGTAATAAATAAATAATTATTAGCTGAATAATTCACTGAATTATCCAATTAAAAATCAGACTGTAGATTTTGTGTAATAATTTAACACTTCAGTTATTAAGAATACTGCCCTTAATCTATTATATCCAACTTCAATTATGTAATGCTCTTAAATTTTGCAATTGGTTAATTTACAACTATACAATTACATAATGCTCTCAAATTTTGCAGTTTCACAGAAAATAAGATTACAACACTATTTGATCTCCAATCATATTTACTCTAATTTAAAATTTAGGAAATTTAATTCAAAAAAGAAAAATTTCAAACTAACAACTGGTACAAATCGATTCAATGGTATATCGATGAAGTAGATAGTAAAGCAAAATCTACAAAAAAAAAAAAAAAAAAAAAAAAAAAAAAAAAAAAAAAAAAAAAAAAAAAAAAAAAAAAAAAAAATGAAAAATAGATAGCAAGAGCCAAAAGATAAAATTTCACGTTCCATAATGAGATCCATCCTTCCAAAAACTTAAAACATCCACCAAGCAGGCACGTCGTAGCTTTCACTCGGAAACGTTCGTTCGTTTAAACGAGGAAAAGACAAAAGCGGCCAGCGATGAACCACAACAAAACGAACGAAATTCCGCCGTTAATCAATTTGAACGCGATGATCGATTCATTTCTTGTGCTAATTTCGAATCAGCGAGACGCGGAAATGCGGAGTAGTAGATGAAAGAAGACAAAAATTCGTCGTACCAGAGGCGAACAGGAAGAGCGTACATCGCGAACGGTCAGCAGGTTCTCTCTCGAGCGACTAGCCGATCGAGAGACAGGGATGATATGTAAAGCCACACGATCCCCGATGCAAGACTGCAGGAATTGCCTTATCGCACTAAACATGTTGATCGCCTCGTGCCAGTTGTCGGTCATTGGTCCAGCCCCAAGTAGATTGTACCACAGTGTTGACGGTCTGGAGAACGGTGTTGCACGAACCTGTCGCCTTTTCATCGCTATTTTCACAACGACGAATTTTCGACGTTCTCCAAAGTTCTATTCTCTTTCAAGAAAACAATCAACGCGTACGAACGTGAACTTCCTAGTATCGACAGTATATCGATATATAGAAGTATATATCGTTTAAGGGGGTATTTTAGTGTGAACTTTTGAAAAAATCGAGTCTTTTTTTTGCATATTCTTAAAAGATAGTTTCAGAAATAAATCTCTGTAACCTTACTATTATTTCTAAAATTAACGAAGTTATGGTTATAAATCTCTGTAACCTTACATATTACTCCTAAAATTAACGAAGTTATGGTTGTTTGAAGGAAGCGACGACCAGCGTCGTTATTACCGCAATACAACTTTGAAGGCATTTTTCTGGAAACTATGTTTTTCAGAACCGTGATATCCCAAACCTAACCCAAACCTAACCAATTGACTCGAAATTTTAAGTATTTGGTACATGTGTGACTATAGCCCCTAACAGAATCAACCAAAAAATTTTATTTTTTATATTTTTTTGGGGCTTCCGAACAAGTTTAACAAAAACATGCAAAAATCGATAATCGAACTTCAAAGTATCGCACCCTTTTTTTAATTACCGACTTTTTTCTTTTGCTTTGGTATCTGCTATAGCCAAACTCATACTAATTAAGGAACATTCACGTTCTTTTCATTTGCAACAAGCAGAATCGCCGGAAGCATGGACGCCGTGAGACGACCTTTTTTGAAAGCGACTATGTTTGAGAATATGCAGTGCCACTTATTTTAACTTTTTTTGTCCCAAAAAATGTTAAAACATCGTTGAAACACGTACAAATAAACCTTGTCAATTTGACTGCAAAAGGTATAATAGTTTCTTTGCAAAAAATTCCCTAACAAAGTTAAAAAAAACACGCACTAGAATATCCCACTTAAGCATGTTCTGAATATTTTTTTCTCTCGTAGTTTAAGTCGTGTCACTTCACGAAAACTTCGGATTTAGGTTCGTTCAACTTCGAGCGTTGACTTGTTCGGTTGCTGTTCTTTCTGAGATTGGAGATTGCTCGACAACTTTGGAAAGCTAATTATATTCTGCATTCAGGAAGAGTGTCTTCTTCTTTTAATGAATTTTGAATTTTAGTTCTTTCCTAAACGAGAAACCTTTTCAATATGTTGCCAATTCGTATTCTTGTTCTGTATGAATTCAAATTAGATCGCGACAGATTTTCAGAAGTGTAGGATCACCTCTGCGTGAGAAAATGTTTAGAAGTTAAATTAATTAATTCAAGTCGAAAATAATTTAGAATTAAAAGAATTGATTAAAGTCGAGAATAATTTTCGAAAGTATCATATAATGACTTTTTATATAAGAATCTGACATTTCATGGGACACGTATAATACATGCAAGCGCCGGTCGACCTTAGTTTTGAAAACATTTGTAAAAGTATCTTTAACACTATAAATTTTAATGTCGTGCATTTTGTTAATAGCTTTGGCTTTAGATTTAATAGCTTGGATTAAAATTAAATTGATTTACTGGAAGAAACATCGAGATATGAATTTATCCAAGGTTGGATGCCAGTTTAAAAGTAGATAAATCGTAGTAATCGACCAAAAAAAAAAAAAAAAGAAAACAGATGATTCTTAATCAAAAAAGTTGCCAGCGAGATTCGAGGTGTAAAGAAAGAAAGAAACACAACTTAAGTTATAGAAACATAACAGAAACTTTGTCAATCATCTAAAACTACCAAGCTACTAAAGTCACTAAAAAGTGTGAAAAATATTTTTGTGAATATGCATCTCAACGTGTATAGAAAAAAGTTATTAGCATAATTTAGTATTTATTTCAGCATTTGTATTATGTCAATTGGATCAGACATTGATTAAAACAAATGAGGGGGGTGATTTAGAATTTGAAAAAAGTGATGAAGTTGAAAAAATTTGAAGAAGGAGTTAAAGATTTTGCAGGATTTACGAATGGATTTAAAGAAGAATGAGAATCGGCGTCTTTAAATATTTTGAAACATCATTTTGACAAATTTTCGTGCGTTTGAATTTTTTGAAAAAACGAAAGGGATGGATTATTTGAAAAAATCGTTTCTGAGTAGAAGTGCGTTCGAAATGTCTGAATTAAGATCAGAATATTTTGTGGAATGTGTAAACAATAAATTTTAAAGGAAACTTAAAGATGATTTGAAAAGAAATGACAGTTGATGTTTTTCAGATGTGGATGCCAAAAAGTTAAAATATTTAAAAGTAGTAGAGAGGAGATTTAAGGATTGAGGAAGACTATCACAAGTAATGAAAGTATGCTACGTTAATTTAACAAATAAAAAAAAATCCAAACTAATTTGCTGCGTGTAATTAATTCAATCTTTTCTCTCAGAAGCTACGTTCGTAATTGACAATGGATAAAAATAAAGTAATTGGCGTGATTGAATAATCAAAATGGAACGCTATTGAAACAGGGTTATTGAATTATCGAATAGAAGGACATTAAAATAAAAACAACGGAAATTAACAATGCAAATCATTTGAAACGCGGAAACTTCACGCTACTATTACATTTAACTTTACATTAAGAATAAATATGACTTGCGTAACTATAAATATGAGACCCTGAAGAATGTTAGTTACAGCTACTAGTGTTGTACGCGTTCGTTGCAAAAAAACTGGGAATGTTATGCGAGTGAAATTGACGAACTGAGTAAAAACTTGTAAACAGTCGTAAATCATGGCAAACGTTACGTCACAGTTTAATTTAAGGGTTAGGTTAAGCTGGTTACGTAGTTTTTTTTTTGTAACGAAGAAAATGTTGCAGGGATAATGACAAACTTTTTCAAGCACTACATCTAGGAACATAGCAGATTAACGAGAAACTAGAAGAATAATCAGGTGAAAGGTAGTAAAAAAGGTATAAAAGATAAATGAGAACGCTGAAAATGGATTTATGAGAATCGATTATCAATGTAAATTATGTTACATTAATTAATTTTAACAATAATATGTACATTATTAATTTTTTAAGGAAGATCGTGATTTTTTACCGAAGGTCGTTATTTTACCGTAGAAGATAAATTCTAGAAGTTCATTTAACCAGATGGAAGAGAAAACACTTGTTCATTCCGGTTATTCGAATGAAGAATGAGAAAATCGTAATATACGTAAATAAAGTGTAGTATCATTGAAATAAATTTTATTTTTGGGAAAGTGTAAAGATCAATCCAATTCTTTTGATCTCAATATGTATTTTATGCTCGAATATTTGGAACTCGACTTGTGACTACGTTCGATTTTCAATTAATTTCGCCTTTTAATCCGTCAAAGATCCATTGAACTGAGAAAAATTTGAATTTAAATCTACCCGCGGAACTCAGACGTCAAATCAGAAGTTCAAAGTATATACTTTTTCCTCTTGAAACTAACAGAAAAAGATTTCCATCCAATCTCATTCTTTTGATCGGAAAATTTACCAAACTAAAAAACTGAATTCATCAAATCCACAAACGTTTGATTTGCAACCAAAAAATCGAGTGATGCATGCACGCTGTACAGAAATATTCAAAATAGATTATTCGTAACATTCAACACGTGATGAATTTCTATAAAACACGTAAAATATTCAAACTATTTATTACAATATTTGTCACACTAATTTCTATTCATAAAAATGCGTTATAAATTATTTATATATATTATAAATTATTTTATATATATTTATAATTATTATATATTTTATATATATTTATATATATTTATAATTATTATATATTTTATATATGTTATAAATTATTTTATATATATTTATAATTATTATATATTTTATATATATTTATATATATTATAAATTATTTTATATATTTATATATGAATAATTATACATATATATATATATATAAGTATATTTAATTAAAATACTGTATATAAAATAATGTATATTTCATAAAAATACAAAATTATATATAATTACATATTCGTATCATCATCCATAAATACGTATACGTACAAAAACACAGAAACGCATACAACAAAATGTTGCAAATGTATTCTATCTCATCTTAAAACCTGATCGAACCAATTATATTTGACGCCAGAATGTTCACACAGTTGTCGGGTAATTATCGTTATTTAATTAGCTAGCCGTCAATGTCTGAGCACTAATCGCGATCGAGCAAGTAAATTTTGCAAAACGATGTCCACTTTCGCAATCGATCGTTACAAACGGTGGTGATCAATTGGAACGATAATAATCGGCTCGTAAAAAAGCGGTTGCCGCGATTCGCTGATGTTTGATCTTTTTATTAAGCGAAGTCGTTCTTCCGTCATCGAGCGTGATCGAATTGCGTGAAGGAAAGAGATTTTACGATTTTTCACGATTTAATAGACGGAGTTGTTAAGCGACGGCGTTGCAAAAGCCAATTAATTCCAAGAACCTGCGATCCGTGACAAAATATGCGAGCATACGTAGTCACTTGCCTCGAAACGTGATTCTTAATCATCGTGAATCGACAGTTCATGGAAGAATGTTGCATATTGTAGTAGCCACCTATCATATCATTAGCCTTCCTAGCTTTCTCATTTTACAATGTTTCGTTATCAATTGCCTTTTATCTAGCTTCCTTCTTCTCCTTCTTTTTGTTATTTTCTTTCTTTTTCTTTTTTTGTTTTTTTGAGTGAGTATCTCCTCACTAGAAAACCTCGATACCTCTCACTAGGTGTTTTCTTACGGAGCAGACTTTGGGTTTTCAATTCATCATTCTGCTTGAGACTGTTTGTGTTTGTGCCGTGATTATTTCCGAGATTATGGGTGTGTCGACGTTCATCTATGATAATTGACCAACTTTTTACGTTACCAGATAGAGTTTTTAAGATACTTGGATCGTGTTTGTAATTTATAGCGGAAGTTACGTACTCAAGGTATGTGTCGTTACGCAAATACAATTGTACGTTTCATCGGTGGAGAATAATTTAAATATGTAATAATATGTAAGTACATTAACTTTCAAAGTGGTCAAAATGACCAATTTATAATTTTCTGTGGAATTATTAATTTTTTATCCATTTATGACAGCGTATTTTTAGATGCTCGAGTGATTTTTAATAAAATATATTAACAAAAGTTTGTGTTCTTTATATTTGTGTATTATTAATTTCTACTTTCATTACATATTAATTTCACAAATATTATGCTTTGGTCGTCGGTAGTTCTAGCGTTAAATTTATAAGAAATATGCAATAGTAATTGAATCAAATAACCACTGTGAAAAAATGTATTTTAGAGTGGTGTGTCGTATCCAGCGAATCTGAAATATGTCTGACTGTTAACGATCTGTTTCTCCTGCGCTTGTAATTCTCTGCGTTACATTACAAGAATAATAACAGAGCGACGGAATATCGAAATATCGAATGATTTAACGTGTAATACGGAATAAAAACGAAAAATAGTGATATGAAGTAAGAATTTTCCATGTGCTTGATCACTAACGTTTTTCTTCACTTATTTCCAGTTTTTTGCATGATATCGATAACGCAAGAAAAAAGTATTACATGTAATATGGAAAAGAACATAAAAATGAACAAAAACATGTCTCGACAGTCATCGAAAAAAAAAAAAAGAAAATAATTACAACAACGTATTTTATATCTGACGAATAACAATCTTATTTCTTCTTGTCCACTTGTAGCTTTTTTTACTTTTTTATTATAAAATTCTTATCTCGAAAGTGTCATTGTTTTAATTATTAGGAATGTGAAATTTCTCATCCAGCGAGCTTGAAATGTGTTATTTAAATGGCCATCGGTTTCAGAGATATTCGTAAAAAATTTGTTTAGTTCTACGTATTTTTTTGAAGTTCTGATGTAGATCGAAGTTAAGCTGAAGGTATAATTACGTTGTACGTCAATCTGAGAACAAAAAAAAAAAAAAGATAATGATGAAAGTTTATAATAATAACCAAGTTTGAGGTTGATATTCAATCCGATCGACGACATTCGCCGAATGATTCAAAGAAATGAATGATTCTTCTTGGAGAAAGTTCCTTTCCTTAGGAATTTAAAAAGTAAAGAAAGAAGGAAACATAATCCAAAGGTAATTTAAACCTGGCCAGAAGCTAAAAAATCTAACTGAAAAGTGTTAAAAGTATTTTTTGTGAGATATCTCGAAAACTGAAACACACGAAGGGAGGAGTTAGTCAAAATTATTGTATCTTATCATTGAAATCAATGAGGAATTCTAATAATTACTAATAAGTAAGAAAGAAAGAGTAATAAGTGCAGTAAAAGTAATAAATATTGTATAGTAAATACATACTTGTTACACTCATCTGTAATTAAAGAAATTTTGGATTTTCTCTTCTGTTCTTTTATATAAATTACAGTAGTATTAAGAAATGAATTAAATTACAGTAGTAATTAAGACTGTGGAAACATTTTCAACAAAATTCGAAATAATGATATAAAAACGATTGATTTCGTCAATACTGTACTCAAAACAGATTTTCATAGTTGTATGCATTACCTATGTGATTATACACAGTTAGCCTGTATATTTCTACGAATTTTCAACGTTTAAGGAAAAACGAAGGTTCCTAATATTTCATAGGTATTAATTTATCTATCAGTTAGTGTTATACAATTTATTTATTTGTTGGTTAATTCTTAATGGCAACGCCACTTGAAATTATTTACTATGCAAAAAGAAAGAAATAAAGAAAAAAAAGGAATAGACTGGAGAAACGAATGTGTCAACGGGAGAATATTATTTATTATAAAGAATGTGCTCTTATTATTATAAATATGACCAGGATAAGGTTTTATTCACTTTATTGTACGTGAAATAATTATACATAGATTTTTGTCTGATCTGATTGAAAGTAACTAATTAATCAAAGCCTGCAAAATTATAGTTCGAAACACTTATTTTCCCATCATGTCTAATTTAAGTGTTTCAAATTTGACATGTGAACCTCTATGATTGACTGTATGTACATTTATATTACGTAGCTAATGTTACGTAGTGAATAAATTACACGAGGAAGATTATGACCCCAAGGTGAGAGAAAAAGTTTTATACTTCGAAAAAGTAACATATTTGTAACAGATACGTAATTCACGTAATTTATTTATTGAATTCTCATTGTGAAGCATGACGCTGAACTCATCATAGAACTATCGAAAGGGACTTTTTATCGCTTTGCGATAAAAAAATTAATTTCAATTTAATGAATTTAAATTTATTCTTAAATTCGATTGTTCCTTAGAATTTGGAGTTGAGAATTTCTGTTTTAATTATATTATTCCTGACGAACGAATTTGTCAAACGTTTCTTTCAAAGCGATCGAACAGAAGTATAAGAGAAAAAAAAGAAGTCCGAAGGTGTCGCTCACAACGAAACAAAGATTAGGGAAGAAGAGAATGACAAAGGACGAAGAGAGAAGCTGCAAATTAATATTAATCAGCACTTCTTCAAAATAGAATTCTCTAATTGAGGAGAATTAATTGACAGAGTAAACTTATATATTACTACCATGACCATAATCTATCCGGTGATGTAACATTATTCCTGATTTAATATATTCGCTGAAGCTATAAAAGTAAGTGTCACCGGCGCGCGTTGATCAGTGTCATTTAAATACGAAAGAGAAGATCAGTAATCAGTTTCTTGCTTTTCGAAAGATTAACGCAGAGAGATGTTCTTTCGGTTGTTCCTCTTTCTTGCGGCCATTGTCGGATTCGCAGTAGCTCAAATTCGTAAGTAAATTTTCGTTCCTCTTTCTTCTTCTTTTCCTTTCTTTACGAAATAATGCACTTAGGCTCTTCGTTAAACATGGAAGTTAAATAATATTTTAAATTTATGTAAACGAGAAATTTAGAGATGAAAGAAGAAGGAGATGTGAGAATTTCAAAAATTGGTTAATTATAACATTTGACGTTACGATAATCGTGATATTTGTCATACCGGAGTTGAACATTTGAGAAATGAGGATTATAAAAAGAAACGTGTTAATAAATTGATAATAATTTATATTAAGTTCTCTTATACAATAAATAATGTCCTATACTTTTCTTGAACCTGAAGTCGAAAAAAAACTATAATGTTTATAAAAGTACAAGCAAACAAATATGAAAACGTCTCTTACAATTAAAATTTAAGAAATTATGATGAAAAGAATAAAGTGATGAAATGCCTAATGTTTAAACTTTAAGAAATTTTAGAAAAAGAACAATGTATTAATAATTATAAATAATTATAATAATAATTTAATAATAATAAGATTTTTTTTAAACGTGAAATTTAGAAAATCACAAGTGAGTGTTAATATAATGATTCTTCGGAAATGAATGCATTCACCAAAAATCGTTCGTCAAATTTCAATGCGTCCTACGATAATCTTTGATAAAAATGCATACTACATAGTGTATATATGTATATTTGATCATCTGTTATATAAAAAGTTAAGCAGCATACAAAAAAATACTATTTATTAAATACTATGTATTTAACATATCTAGTGTTTAAATCTTTCACTTTAGTCGGTTTGTGCAATTCCTGAATTTCATTAGATACTAAATTAATTAAGATTAAGATAGTAGGTATTGTAATTTTTAACAATACAATTTTTAGTGATATAAAGTTTTTAGCAATAAATTTCAAATACTGCTCTCAGACTTTCTTGATGAATTTGACGACTCTGGTTACAAGTTTCATCTTCTTGCAACAAAATTTTGAAAATCGAGAGATACTAACATTATGCGTTTCCAGTCTGTGCACGACTGATTTCTTCTTCATGTTATCTTTGAGTTCTTTGGAACGGTAAGTCATCGATGCTGTAGCATTCTTTAGAAAAGCAAGTTGATGCATATTCATTTTATCTTGTTATATGTATCTAGATAAGAACGACAAGGACAATTTCGATAAACGTTGTTTACTCGTACGCGTTAGCATAAATTAGATCAAAACAAGTGGTAACTCTGTGCAGCAACTTGCAAAAAAGCTAATAAAGCTAATCCAGTATTATCATCTATTAGGAAGTTGTTTCGAATGGTATTTGAAATGCAAGGTAGATTCAAGGAATCACTATCCCAATCCATTAAATGGCATCCATTAAATAGCCTTACGTAACAGAAAATACGTTTCTTAATGCAGTTTATGAAATACAAAAAAAAAAAATGGATTATCATAACATCATTAGACAAGAAAATTACCACGACGTATATATATATGTATTCATTAATGAATAAATATGTCGGAGCCAATTTTTCAAAAAACTTATCAAATGATTGACTGCTATTCAAAAGCTAGAAAGTCGAAGAGTCTGATTGCACGTGGAATTTAGAGAACAATAAATGACAACAATCATCGATAGAATATAGTAAATATTAAGAGACATGTTACATAACAACGTAGATTAGTAAAAACGTAATGACAATATTTATAAATGTGTTTCTCCAACGATTATTATAACACGTGGTATTACTAAAATAATTTACAACAATATGTACGTTATGTATAAGTATTTAAATAAATATATTATAATAATATGTGTGATAAAGAATATAATAGAATATGTCAAATATGAAAAACTTTGCACAAAATAAATATAACGATATCTATAAATCGATTATTGCGTATCAGAGTAATTTTGAAAGCCTTCTCCTGGAACGTGGAAGAAGAAATTGTACGCAATTCTAGACTGTTTATAAATTATGTAACCAGAGTAGCTTCGAAATCTGAAACGTTCAACGAAAGAAGTAAAAAGTTTGCTATCGTTGGAACAACTCGAAACACTAAAATATTCCAACAAAAAAAAAAAAAAAAAAGAGAAAAGAAAAGAAAAAGAAAAAGTTTGCTGCAAATCTACGTCATTACGAACTTATTATTATTTATCGATTATTAATTGTCAAATCCATTATACCTGTTTGCCAGCTTCTTACATACCCGTATGCGGACTCAGAAATCCGAATCTCGACAAATGCATCATCAACAGCGTGATTACTGTGACTGAGAAGCTGCAGCACGGAATTCCGGAGTTGGATCTCCCGCCAGCTGATCCATTGAACATTGGAACATTCGTGCTTACGGACTTGCCGAATTTCAAGGCGGTCGGTTCGGACGTGAAGCTGAAAGGGCTGAGCAATTACCACATAAATTTCTTTCACCTGGACGTTGAGAAGCAAAGGACAGACATAAATATAACATTTGATGAACTGTCGTTAAACTCTGTTTTCAATGTCACCGCTCGGATCTTGTTCCCGATAGAGGAAACAGGAAACGTTCTGCTCACTGCAAGTAAGTTGAATTAATATATCACAATATCGTTAGATATCATTATATTCGTCCTCATCTATAGACGATGAGAAAAGTTAGAAAAATGTTAGAATGATATTTCGAAGAATGACAACAAACCTTGTCTTTTTCCATTTTCTTTTTCTTTTTATTCTTCTTTTTTTAAGTTTCGAACCGATACCGATTCCTATACACTATATCCGATACACCACGTGAAATGTGCACCACGCTCGAGTTTTCGAGGTTTGCCAGAAATTATTGCAATCGTTCACGCGCTAGCAGATAGCAGACTTGACGCTCACTGCGTGCCAACTAACGACACAGATGAAATATGTACATGAATCCGTGGAGGAACGCTGCTCCTTCTGCTTGAACGCCACGTTACTCTCGTAGAATGCCTCTGTATGCGATTTATATCGATTGTAGGTCAAACGATTTCTTGCCGGTAAGCGAACTGTTTCTTCCGAGCCGCGAGAAAATCGAGAAAGATTCTCTCGTTTCTTTACCGATCGACTTCGATGGTTATGTTTTCAAACGTTATGTTTGTCAACTCGGTCGGAGCGCACTTCGTTTAAATATTTTTGGAAACCACGAAGTACTCTTGCTTGCTGGGTGTTTTCTTCAAAAATAGTGTGAAACCCCGACCGTGTCATAAATCGAGGCAATTCCCAAGAAAGTTTTCTAAATAATAATGTTCCAAGAGTATAATAACATTTAACACGTGATTTCCGAAAGCAATGATATAATTTTCGGTTAATATATGTGTAATCGTGCAGTCCGTCTTTCCTTTACGTTAATAATGATACGAAGTAAAACTTGAATGTGTCAATATAATTCCATTATATTTTTATAAATAAATATATATATATATATATATATATATATATAATATAAATATAATAATATAATATATTATATACATAATATAAATATATAAATTTAGCATAAATAGCTTATAAATAAAAATAATTAGCACCTGAAAAATAATTATTTTAAATAAAATAATAATAAAATAATTAGCACGTGTGAAACTTGAATGCGTTAATATAATTCCATTTTTATGTCAATAAAATGATATGAAACAAAACTTGAATGTGTCAATATAATTTCATTGTATATTTATAAATAAATATATATATTATATATAATATAAATATAATAATATAATATATATAAAATATATATTATATTATTATTATATATTAATGCACGTGTGAGACTTAAATGCGTTAATTGTATTATACATTATAAACAAATATGTATATTATATTTATTTATATTAATATTTATTAATATATATATATATATTATATTTATAATATTAATATAAATAAATATATATTATATTTATTTATAATATTTATTAATATATATATATATTTATATATTATATTATAGTTATATTATAAACAAATATATATATTATATTTATAAATATTTATAAATATATATCATGTTTATATATACATTTATAATATATTTATAAACAAATATATACATTATATATTTTAATGCACGTGTATACCCGTGTAACATGTAAATCTGTAGCCATCTGAGCCGAAATCGAATTAACAATGAAACGCACATAGTTTTGTGCAGTTGATGCATCAACTGTGTCACTACACAGAATAGATTGTAGAGTTTTCCTTCAGAAGTTAACGTAACGTTAAACAGAGGGAGGGCAAAGTTAGAAAAATACCATTTCATTTCATCTTCACCACCAGAAGAATTTTGCGGTTTTGCCGATTGACGAAATTTGCCCTTTTCACTCAACGAACGGAATATTAATTCATTTTGCAGGGAACGCGAATGCTCACATAGTCCTGACGTACGTGGTGACCAAACGTGGTGACAAACGATATCACTACTACTCGTCAATGAGCATAAAATTGATTGTCACGGACTTCGACGTAGAATTCCACGGGCACAGCTTTGACAAAACCCTGCAGGAGGCGATCGAGCAAACAATACAACACAATAAGAAGGAATTGTTGGACGCAAGCATAGGGAACTTAGAGAAGGCCACTTCGAAGAAGTGTCTTGAAATAATTAACAACTTGACCAAGCATTTCACGTACGACGAGATGTTACCCGATCGGGAGTAAACCAGACAAGTTAAGCGATCGGATTTGCCAATCACCGGGAAAGGAGATGAAAGGGAAACTACAGACTAAACACCGAACTGAACTGAATCAAACTTTGTGTATTAGAGAGACGAAAGTGCAAGGAGGGTGGGAGAGAAAAGTTTGTACATAATACTGTGGAATAAAGAACACTCGTTCTCAAGATCATGTTCCCAATTTCAATTTCCCATTCGTCGAGATTCGTCGTTGCTTTAGAAGATCTGAATTTTCAGAAAATAATGTTCAAGAAGAGAAAATCTAAAAATGGATGTAGAAATTTTCGAATCATCCTTGAATGTATATTGTATACTTTGTCGCTCTTTTTTTGTCGTTTCTTTTTTTTTTATTCATATATTAAGAATATGTTGTTGTTGTTGTTGTTGTTAACAATGTTAAACGTAATTCACGTTGAGTTTAAAATTTCACATGAAACAGTGTAAAATTTGTGAAAAGGAAATTAAATTCAACGTAGATATCGAATGCAAAACTTGACGGAACATAATGTAAAAATTTGTTGAAAGAAAATTTCTTGATTTCTACGGCGGGAATTAATGTTCAATTATCAATTAAATATCAATTACTCAGTATTTGTTAATATTCTTAATTATGAAATAAGTCGGACAACATCTATCTTCTAGAATACAATATATTTGAGCGATATGTTTTCCAATGTGAAATGTACATTTTGAAAATCATATTATATATATGCTGGTAATAAATTCTGCAAAATAGCATTAGAGCTGTACTTTTATTTTAGCAAGACGGAATTTTATGTATTATCCAAAAAATTATTATACGTGATCAATTCGATGCATTGCCTCCTTAAACAACAATACTACTTTCTTTTGCTAACAATTTGTCAAAGAATAACGATCTTCAAATATCGAAGAATGGCCACTGAAGGTTTGTGATATTGCGAATGTATGCGTGATATGAATACGAAGGAAAAATGCAAGCTAAAGAGAAATAAATCAACGAGAACTGAGGAATTAACATCGCTATTTGTAAATAGTAAAGTATCATAGTCACAGTGAAGTATCATAGTCAACGAAATTCAGTCAGTTATATTTTATTGTAAAAATTTCACAATTATCCATCCCTTGCGTTTCTTTAACAGACTGTGGATATTTATGCAAATTCGTAATTTTTCCTACGCAACTGCATCTACGTCGAAATTAAAACATAACAGTTTGTATACTTTGCATATTATGTGTAATAAATGTTACAGATTTATAATACCAGATTTATAAAAAATTTACAAATTTACAGATTTATAAAAAAAGATTTATTTCTACAATACTTTCGATATTTATAGGATATTATCTACTCAGATATTAATACAAATATATTTCATACATTCTCCGTATGTCATATTTGTGTATTTGTAAATTCCCAGCAAACGCATAAAAATTCACAATCTACCACAAACTTCCAAGCAAAGAGAGAAAAAAAAGAAAAATCATAATTCCAGATCATAGTCTTTTCAGATCTCAAACCTTCGAGGGGGCAAAAGAAGAAGAAAAGAAAAGAAATCGTAATGCCAGATCGTAATCTTCGTTTCTCAACGACGTACTTAAAACAGAAGAATCTCTCAAAGTTGAGCGAGACGATGTTACAGCTGTTCTCGATGCTTGAATTTATCATCTACGATATTTCTCGACTGTGTTTACGACTCTGGGAAGAGCATTTTGTACGGAAACTGTTGTAAAATACCGTTTGCAATGTCTATGAACGCTTTCGAGATGGCGTTCTCGACAGCTGGTTTGATTTCAGTGACGAAACCGTTGAAGTTGCTGTTGATGGCGCTGTTGACCGCGTCGCCGAGAACTGGATCACCGTCGAAGAGGTTTTGCAGACGCAGAGCGCCGTCTTGTACGACGAGTATCTTCGTCTTAAGCTCGGCTACTTTTAGGTAACTTTCGCCGTCTTCCTTCTTGAATTCCTTCATTTGTAACTTCACGACTGCCTTGCAGTTTGTGAAGTTACCTTGCATCGGGCCATTGCCCCGTATATGAAGGAGAATTATTCGTCCATTGATGTCGTAGTTGCCACTGATGGAAAGATGTGGGAGATCCACATCGACTGTGAAGGTCAATGTTTCCAAACTGGCTCTGTGAAAAACGTACATTTTATATTTCACATATAACATGTTATGTGAAATATTAATACGTTAATATAATATTTCACATGTAATATGTTATGTAAAATATTAATATGTTAATGTAATATTTCACATGTAATATGTTATGTAAAATATTAATATGTTAATATAATATTTCACATATATGTTGCATAAAATATTAATATATGTTAGTATAATATTTTACGTGCAATATGTCATGTAAAATATTAATATATTGGTATAATATTAATATATTAATATAATATTTTACACGTAATATGTTATGTAAAATATTAATATTATGTTAGTATAATATTTTACGTGTAATATGTTATGTAAAGTATTAATATATTAGTATAATATTTTACGTGTAATATGTTATGTAAAGTATTAACATGTTAATATTAGTGTAATGCTCATACACTACCATCCTGGACTTTGGATCATCCTATTAATTTTAATAATTAAAATATCGATACTTATTACAGCAAGCTGTTACTATTTAAGTTATATTTATAATTTAAAACGACATGAATTTTGAAAATCCCTCTCGGAAGTTAAAGTCAAGTTGATGAACTTTCTCAATTGTATAAAGGGAGAATTATTACTCTGAAGAGTGTTTCGTCTCGTATGAAACGCAGAGTTTTGTCAAAAATTCTAATATTTAACAAGGTAAATTGTTCAATAATTATTTAATTATTGAATAATCTTTTTGATTTCAAAAGAAATTAACAAGAAGTTAATTTAATGACCATTAAATCTGTTCGACGGCCCTGAAACTGTTATGAAATAATCTTTCAATACTAAAATTCACAATTATCTAAATTTGTCATGTAAAACCGTGTGATTCGATACACCGTTACATTTAAATCGTCGTTTTTGTTTGGTACGAGCAAAGATCATTTGATCAATGGATCATGCGTCATTGACATTCAGCGTTTCCGTTCCATTGGGGTTTCATCTTCTTTTTGCAATTCCCGTGTCACGTTGGTCATACAAATTATTCGCAACTGCCAGAGACGAGTTCGTGTCACGGCCATTCGCGTACGCGCGGAATACAAAGAGGAGGATCTCCTCATTTTATTATTTATTTATGAGTCACTCGGTCAGAAATCAACGTAATTTCTTCTGCTTCACGAGTGAAAAATTGCATTTATTTCGCGTGGTTTCCCGACAAAGTGAATGGTCGTCCAGAACGTATCGAGTATAAAAATATTTCAAAGAAAAGTAAATGTTAAAGGAGGTTGTTGAAAACAAAAAAAAAAAAAAAAAAGTCTAGTCGAGGAATGAAAACCGAAGAATGCGAAAGAAAATTAATCGACCTTTTGGTACAATAAAATAACGAAATATACTCGTAGTGGAATACTCTTAGCGAACTGTCATTAATAATCTTAATAATCCTGTAGTTAATGTCACGTTGATCATTAATTACTAAAACGAAAACATGTAGAATTGTACGTTCAATCACGACGATTTATGTTTCACTGAACTTTCCCATTGTTAATTGTTGTCAATGTCTAATTGAATAAACCTAATTCTGAAAGAGTGAATCGTTCAAAATTTCTCTTATTTTTGACAGTGTTCATTTCTTTATATCCTTGTTAGGTAAATTGATACTCAACTTTCATCGGAATATTTCAATATTCCGATAATAATTCTGAAGGATAAATCTTTTTTTTTTTTTTTTCTATATTGCTGTGAAACAAATTGAACAATTTTAGTTCTAAAGAAAATATAGAACTCGCTGTTGTAATTCACTTGGAAAAATTTATCCTTCAGTCAGTGATTAATTTCTACAAGTTCTGAGAAACAGAATCGATTATCTTAATTCATTCTATCATTCGGTATTAACTCGTCTCTCCTCGGATTCAATTACACTTTCACGAGTACCCTTAACTATTTGCACACGCTAGACAATGTCTTCATTTCCGAATGTCATTTCAAGGCAGGTCGTTCATCGTTCATCACCGTGCTCGTAACACGTGTCATTAGCCGCTTAATTTGACATAATGACGGGCCCGGGCTTTGTTTTATAAGACCCGTGACGCAATCCTCCTTCATATTCGCAGAAATTCGTCTCAAACAATTAAGCTGAAGTGACAGCGAGGAAAATTGAATTTCGCAACAATACAATTATTTACGTAATAAATAAGCTTTGATAACCTCGGACGACATTTTTAGATTAGAATCTTCTAAGAGGAATTGAGTGTAAAAGTTGTAAATTTTGTAAAATTTTCTCCAAGCTCGTAATTGCAGACTGCAATTGTGAAACTACTCATCAACAGCGTCCGCTTAAAATTTAACACAGTATTAATTAAATGTATAAGGTATAATGTTGAATTTTCTTTCAGTCATTCAGTTTTTTCTTAGAGCGTATCAAAATTCTCTGTTATTCCAATGTTTAACGCATAAATGTATTTTTCTCTAAAATACACAATGATTACTGTTTTCTTATTTGTTTTTTTAATATTTACGTTCTTAGTCATGCACGTTGAGATTTCGCAAATTTTCAAACGAAAGAAAAAATAGGAGAGAAATGATTGAATCAGTGACACACATCGTAAGGTCTAGAGACGACGATATTTTTGCTGTTACGTAGATGCATCGTTTATAATCACGATTACAACGTAGACGTAATGTAGTAATGATGCAGAAGCTTGGCATTTCTTCTGAGTCAACCAATTTCTTATTACAAATATTTAACGATGCCGCGTTATTAATCAGCATCGTGTCTTTACATAATTCTAGGAGCATTGAATTTCATAATGAGAAATTGACTTGATTTATTAGAATTGCAAAAATAAAGAAACTTCGTCGGCAAGGAATTTCACGTTACATTTTTAAATGAGAAAAAGTATATACTTGCGTACGTTTAATTTTACGATAATTTATTATGATATTATAATAAAGTCTTCAGATGTTGTGCTGAGTCCTCGTCCCCTTTGCAACATAATTAATTAATCAAACATTCAGAAATCGAAATACGATAGCGCGGACATTTATGGAAATTTATTTATGAATAAATATCTGTGGAGACTTATTTTTATGAATACAAAAGGGAAAACGCGATTCAAGTAGAAATTCTTTTCGTTTGATTTATCATGATTTATTAGAAATATAAAAGAATTGATTGAGCTTCTTGAAGCAATTTTAACGATAAATTCTACTTAAAGTCAAATTTATTTTACAAGATTAGTAAAAAAAATTAATTTTACATTGATCAAAAATTGATGTACCTAAAAACGTGAATTGAAACGTGTATTATACGTTCAAGCATTCAAAATTTTAGCAACCTTTTCAAAAACAATTTTTTGCAACGACTTGAAATCTCGTAATCATTAGTGCGTGATCAAATTTCGCCAAAGAGTTCGAGAACTGTATTCAACAAAAATTTTCTCAGGATTGACAAGGTCCACGGGAGTTGATATTATTTGAACAGTACAATCCAGTCTTTTCGAAAATAACACAAAAATCACGAAGCGAACGTAAACATTAATATTTAATCTCGTAGATGTAACTCCAATTACAATTATTATTATCATTATTTTCCTCTTTAACCAATCGTTTACCTATCATTTCTTTTTATTTCTTTCCTTGAAATATTTTTATTTCAATGTTTAAACTATCAATTTTAATATTCAGATTATTAGAATGGAACTATTCTCAGATTATTAGAATGGGACAGAATGTATCCTAGTTTGCTTAACATAGATTTCGAGTCTCCTTTGGATAATTAAGTTTATTCCACGCTTCTAAGTAATCTTGAATTTGTCTACTCACTTCAGCTTCGTCAATGAGAAATCACTGGAACCGTGAATGATAGCGTTCGTTATCTTCAACTTCAGGTTCCCTCCTGCTGTAGCTGTTAATTCCTTCAACAGCAATGGCTCCAGAGAAGGTATTTTATAATCTGGCACTCCAGTCTTCAACTGCGGTTTCATGTTGATTATGCTTGATTTTATGCATTCAGAAAGGTTCGGCTCGTTCTTCTTGCAAACGTGAATAAACTCAGCTGCACGCAGTCGACAAAGGGAAAGAAGAAAGGTTAGATCACGTCAAAGTTCTTTTATAAAAGAAAACAAAAGAAATTACTTCTCAAAGTTCAGCAATTACAAACTGAAGATATTTGACATTAATCCTTGCGTGCCTACCATTTTCGAACGTTTCAATACTTGCATTCAACTTTGTAATTTTTTTAATTTAATGATATTTTGATATGTAATTGAAATTCGATAATTCAAATTGTTATTTAACAATTCAATATATTTAATGTTTATGAAATATCTCGTAATAGAGAAGCTGTAAGGCTGCAGAAGGAAATGGATTTTCAGTAAGAACGAGAAGAATAAGTTTGTTTCTTTTTTCGTTATAATTAATTAAAATGATAAAATGTATGAAATTCGTTGACCCTAGTCTACCTGAACGAGTAAGTCGAACATGACTATCATAATTCTAAATTATTAATGTAAACAGTATAATTCTAAATCTAATAATATTAATAACTTTAATAAATGAATAAATAAAAATAATCGACCAATTAATTACCACTTTATAATTGTGATAAAAATAATTTCGAATGTATACTGACGTACACTTTTTATACTATTAGAAAAGAGCACTAGATACACGATTGCACACATGATATAAATTTATGCTCTATTGTAATTTTCCACTTTGAAACGTGCCTTTATGCGCGTTTATATATTATTGTTTGCTGCAAAATGGCACGAGAGAAATTAAAATTCAAGTGATTTTCCAATAACGAATAACAAAATAAATAAAAGCGGAATACATATGCAAATGTACTGCTTATTGAATATCGTGTGTGAATAGGTTCTATAGCATAAGATAACGAAAGTAATCTATTAATTCTTCACTTCAAAATCCATAAAAAAAATTTGCATAACAGTATTGAACAAATGGAATATAGAAGATCACGAAGCGATGTAATCACAGTTTTTATGTTGCATAATTGAGAAGAGATAATCTTCTCTTTATTTGAACAACAATTTGAGGAAATAAAATGAAAATGTTTTAAAGAGAAATTTCAAAAAAAGAAAGAACCATTCTATCGCACATATAGAATAATTTTCCTTTAGGAAATATGTGAAACTTTTATTCTACAGCTTTTGCCAAGAAAAAAGAAAAAAAAAGAAAAAGAAAAAAGAATTTGAGAGAGAAAGAAAATTTTGTACAAAATTCCACAAGTGTCTACGATTTTTACACGTGATAAATAACTGCAATTTAAAAAAGAATCTAATTATGCGATATATACTATCAGCGTCACAGTATTTTTATACAATTAATCCGATTCGAGTTTTACAGATTACTCTTGTGTTCACTCGATAAAAGTTGGCAACTAATTATTTGACATTATTCAAATACTATTTTTAAATTTGAACTCACGATAAATAATTAATGAGTGAATAGCGTGAAGAGCGTTATAAATGAAATCATAACTGGCGTGTGTAATATAAATTCGCCTCAGGCATACAAATTTGTCCTAAATCAACCTAATCCAGAGGTAATTTTTAACTTGTCACAAAAATTTATGTGCTTGATAGAACAATTTACTAAATTCTTAGTAGAATGCAAAATACAGAGTTTTGTTGTCTCTGTTCAAATTCTACAAACAAATCTTCTTCATCGGATAATTATGAAAATTGTTGCCTTCGAGATTCATTCGTATTTATTTATATGTACAGCAAATTGAAATACATTAAAATTAATTGTGTTTCATCGGTATATGTGCACATACACTGGCCAATTGCTGTAATTATTTTGTCAATTCGAAAGATTGCTCTTTGTTTCGATTCGCAATTTAGAAGCGGCGTCCTTTTTGAGAATAAAATAGCTTGTTGGAATGGAAAATTATTCTCGACAAATACGAACGTCAATTCCTATTACTATATTACTCTATTAATATTTAGTTGATTATTATCATCAATTATTTGTATTGAAATATTTTTTTAGATGAAATATCTACTGTTTGGTAGAATATTTTCATTACTAATTAATTTGTTAATTAATCTGAATATATTAATATATTATTTTATAATATATTTTGTAATATATTAATATATTATTTTATAATATATTTTGTAATATATTAATATATTATTTTATAATATATTTTATAATATATTAATATATTATTTTATAATATATTAGTATATTAATTTATTAATTTATTTATAATATAATAATATATTAATTTCAATTTCGTTTGCTACATTGTAGATAATTTATTTTATAAGGAAAACATTATCATTGATCGTTTCTACAAAATATTCCAGAGTCTAAAATTTAATCAATAAACTTTTTTAAATAAATTATTAGATATTATGAGTTATACTGTAAACTATAAAAGTACTCACACGTTCAAATTTGCTCGAAACTCAGGTTGCACGATTAAACAAAGTTTAAGGGAGTGTACTGTTACTGTTGGTGTAAAAAACTAAAAAAAAATTTTTTTCTTTCTCTTTCAAGTAGATAATAATACGAAATTTCGTACGGAAAGGATTTTTTGAACAATTCGAATAACTGACAGAGTTACAGTCCTGAAAACGATTTTTCTTTCATTCTAGATAAATGTTATCTTAAAATTTAAAACACGTTCGTTTCGAAACCATAATTTTCACCTAACTGTTTAAAACAGACCCTAGAAACCATGTATCTGTTTAATTTCAAACTTTAAGAAATTATCTTCGTTTGCAAATTTTTGAAATTACCCACAGCGTGGCGTACTGTAATAATTTCTTTAATCATTTTCAAAGAAGCAAGGATGTAGCAGTTTTCAAAGGAAAGAAGAATTTTAATTTCTCCCTTCGTCTTTTACTCATTTGCGAAACGTTCAACGAGTTGAATATAAGAGAAAAAGAGAAGGAGAAAAGATATGCAGTCAGAAAATTAAAATTGAAATTCGAAAATATCACTTACGCAGATCTCGCGCGAGTGCAACGCCAGACATCGCCAGGGCCAATCCAATTACCACGATCGTCTTCATATTCACCCTCTCGAAGATTAATTTCCTAAAGGTCGAACGAAATTTACGAATATACTAAAATGAAGTATCGATGCAAAGTGCTTCTGCTGGAAAATGATTCTCTCTCGAGACGAGAGAATAATGGCCAACCAAGGAACAGGGTTGTTTCGTCACGCGCGAATGATCAGATCGTCGGCCTACAAGTGAATAACGTGGCTTGCCCCAAGTCCTTTTAGTAGTATCTCCCCTCTCTCAATGATTCCCTGCCGTTGTTCGTCGATGATACTTGCTCCAGAGCATCCAGATCAACGTGCTTCGAATCATCACGAATTCTGGTCACGTGATCTTGACGAGACGCGTGTCGCGGTAATTTTATTTTATTACGTCGGCGTATGCACGTGCTCGTGCGACAGTACCTTCGCTACGTTCGTTGGCAACGTAAATTTAATTCGATGTTTGAATCAACGTTGTTGAGATCAGTGTTTCTATTTTTCTTTTTTTCTTTTTTTTTTTTTTTTTTTTTTTTTTGTTTCGGCATCTTTCGGATCTGATAATTCGGATTGACAAGATGTGCCTTTCAATTACACTAGGTAAGAAGACTTAACACTAGGTACAATAATAATAATTATATAGTGATATTTGTAATATTAATAAAAATTCAACTGAGGTGTTGCAAATTAAAATTGAGGAATTTACAAGTTCGTCAATGTATGATTGTTAATGGTCCAATGGCACCAAGAATCATAGCACATAGAATCAATACTATTAATATTCATATTATTATTATTAATATTATCATTATTATTATTATTAAATATTATTTATATTATTTATAATTATTATTATTACTATTATTAATAATCATTATTATTATTAAATATTATTTTTATTATTATTATATCCATATTATTATTATCATTATTAATATTATCAATACAATTGTTATTTCCAGTATTAATATTGACTGACATGATATTAACTCTTGACTCATATCGTTGGACAATTATAATGATTTACGGTTAAATCGCTTATTATTTATACTAGTTTTAAGATATTTGATTTAATTGAATTTCTTAATAATTCTTATAGTATTAATAATAATCACAATACATAGTGCAACGTGTGAATGTGTTATCATAATAAAAAGCAATCTCAAGCAATCTCAGGCGTGTGACGATCATGAAAAAATGAAACAACGGAAAAATCTGTATCGATGTTTGATAACTGATATTAGAGCCAATGCTGTATTATGGAAATTTATTTTGTAAATCACTTATCCAGCAATTAGTTTTCAATAATTTTTGCATTTCCGCTTTTACATAAGCGATTGATTAAAACCGATCTCGATTTTGCATATTTGAATAGAAAATTCTGGAATCCGCAGGAGAAATAGTTTACAAGAACAAACGCCGGTGAACTTTGCTCGTATAACATGCGAAGTCTGTCCTTCGTTTGAATTTAAGTAAATGAAATTCTAGAAAAGTGAATGAACATATTTGATACCTTCGTTTGAAGTAAAAGACGATGTATACTCAGCGTAAAAGTGATTTACGTGTCGTGTTATTTAAAAAGGAATGCCAACATAACCTGGGATGCTTAAGTGTGCAATGAGTTTTTAGTAAAGAAATAACATTTTAAGCGAAGTATATTCGTGTTCAAGAATTAAAAAAAATTCACGTTCAAATTCGACGAACATTATACAATGCCTGTTTAGTGTATATTAAATTTTAGGACGAATCTTGAATCTCTAACCACTCTGCAGAAACCTTGTTAATTTTAAAAATTACGAGAAATTTTCAAATCAAACGTAACTACAGCTGTTATAATTATTGTTGAAATTGGCTGACGCATCGTTCAAATATGTGCAATTTAACAATCAACTCTAACATGATTTCATGTTTATTTGAGAGAAATAATGTATGCACCAATTCATATTCAGATCTTACAAAATTTTACATTTGTATGAGAAAGATAATTTTATTCGCAGAATTTGAACGATTCATTTGCATATATGTGAATGAACATTCTAACGTGGCCTAAAGTGAAGAACGAAGAATAAAGAGTGAATAAAAATAATTCTACGTTTTTATGTTTCTTCGATTAATTCCCATTATCATGCACTATAGAAATCGAAGAAGAGTGATGACTGTGATGATTCGTCTCTGAAGAACGCGACGACGATCCAAGAAAAACATGGTGAGAGATTTTCCTCTTGAAACTTTTCCTTTCTTGCTTGCGATCGTCGGGTAGAAAACGCGATTTAGTTTTCCTTAATGTCAATCATAATATATATAATCGCTAATAAAATCATCAACGGCTGAAACACTACTTTGCACTCCCCTAATTTATATTTGAAAAGTTCCAACTTATGTGTGCAAATTCCGATGGAAATGTTTAGATCTAGATAGATCTCATTAAAAAAAAATCTCAATTACGGTCATAAATATTTGCATCAATATTAGCGATCTTTGAATAACACGTTTAGACAACTGCGACTGCAGCTTTTTTTCTAACACGTATATATCAATTATTATTTTTTTCGTCCAAGAAGTTCCGGAATTAATGAATGATTAAACATGAGGAAATTAATTATTTCAAGGTACATTTTTTGTCTTCAATAAAAAATTCCAGCTCTCACATTATAGTTACAAATGTGATCCGATATAACATAATTTGTAATTCTCTGATAAACGAATGTAAATTTTTCGAAAACTCTACATAACATTAACTTAGTAAATATATTGTTGCCTTTAATAATATAATACAATATATTGTTGCCTTTAGTCATATATTTCAATATATTATTGCCTTTAATAATATATTATTAATATATATTTATAATTAATATAACGATAAGTCTGTATTACAAATTTGTAATATTTTAGAAAGAACAAGGGACTGAAATATTTTTAATATATTAATAATTATAAATATTTAATATTATAATTATATATATTTATTATATATATTTTAACATATTAATAATTATAAATATTTTATATTATAATTATATATATATTTATTTTATATATTATAATTATATATATTTCAATATATTAATAATTATAAATATTTTGTAATACAATTATATATATTTAATAATTATAAATATACTAAAAATATTTATTTAATATATTAATAATTATAAATATATTTAAAATATTTCAGTTCCTTGTTTTTTCTGAAATGTTACAAATTTGTAACATAGACTTATCGTTATATTAATCTTACAAGTGTGCAATTATTCTCCCTTCGTACTTTAGTACAAAAGTCAAAAAATAATTAAATAAGTGGCGGAAAATTATACACCTCCAGCATTCGATTACACGTATGTAATATATATATATATTATTTACGGAAATGGAAAACGGCCTTCGGAGTCGAAGGATAGAAGAAGACAAGACAAGTGGTTGTCAAAAAAATGAATAAGTAATGGAGATATATTTTTGAGGAACAGGTATTTATACGTGTACACGTATGTGGAGTGAACATGCTTGGAAAAGGAGCCAATGTTTGCAAGAGGAGCCCTTGACGCGTCAAGGTAGAAATGGTACCCTGACCCTGTCCTTCGGCGATGTCGTCGAATATCACGAGTACAGACCGGACTTTCCGTTCGTTCACCTACGTTTCTTGAAATCCAACGGATGAGTTGCTCGAGAAGATGGAAAGACAATTACGCATTTGGAATATCAGATTCGAGCGACATCTTCGTGGCTTTTATCGCGTACGCCACCTCGAAACGTGTCGCAGATTCGACCACTTTGATTGTGCGCGAGCGTGTATCTGTTCGACGAAATCGACGAATGTTCCGCAACGAAGCGTAAATAAGGCTTGATATCAAGATCTCTTTGCTTGATTGCGGGAGTTAAGCAAGAATGAGAGATGCCTTGGTGTATTAGAGAATGTTAACCTTTAGATTAAAGGTTAAAATTAAATTAATTTCACGAGTTCGATCTGAATTTCAAGGGATGAAATAGATTCAAAGGTTGATTTAACTTTCGCAGTATTGTCGGATCGTAGATGACTATAGATTGTCACGTAGTTTGTTATATTTAATTCAACTTGATGTAATAGTTTTTTGTTTTAATTCGGTATTCATTGTTATTTCTACGATAGAGAGTAATAATAAAATTAGAGTGAAATTGAAAATTTCACATTAATCCTAATGTTTAATTGCAATTTCATCCTAGATTGTCCTTAACGATATCAGTTAAGAATTTTCACTTTTATTTAATTCAGGGAAATATGTGTTGTAAATAAATGGCGAAGATTTAAGTAGGAGGGAAGTATCTTAATAAATTCAGGTTCAATTTGCTTTTGGGAACAGATTTAAGCCAGATTATATAATACTAAATAGATAATAGTAAAAGTATTTTATGAAAAGTATTTTAATAATATTAAAAGTAAAAGTATTATATGAAGTAAAAGTATTATATAATATTAATAATAAAAGTATTTTATGAAAAGTATTTTAATAATCGTAAAATATTTTTTCCAAGGAAATGCCATAAAAATAAACATAGAAGAGATTAATTTCTTAAAAAAATATTAATTCATTATTAATTTTGGAGAAATTAAGAAGAAATATATCATATTACATATTATATATATATAATATTATAATATATTAAAATATATTATAATGTATTATAATATTATAATATATGTAATATTATTATATATATATTATATTAATAATAATATTATACATATCAGAATAAAATTAATTTCATTTTCCATCATCATTCTTGGAAATGGAGCGAAAAGAGACAAAAATTTATCATCCTTGAGTAAAGAAACATTGTACGAATTTAGTCACGATAAAAATGCAAACTCAAGGAATACCGGTATTCCTACAAGGCGTATTGCACGTATCAAAACATGATTTATTCGACAAAATTATAGCTAAAAACCTTATTCGGATATTTCATTGCATTTTAATTAAAATGCAGCTTTGGTATTTTCTCTGTTATTGGAGCGTGGCAAAAATTCAGAAGTTCAAGTTCGCTTTTCGACATAACGTCACTCAGAGTTGCCTTAGAATGATATCGTGAACATTTCCTGACATCAAACTGTATCACAAGTTTTCATAGTAGTCCAATTTGTTAGATACAAATATAAACAGAATAATTTTTATACTATCTTTGTACAAACAATGTACAAAATATTGTTACACGAAAATTACGCATGCAATGGTAATAAAAAAGACGATTGAAATTAATTACGCATGCAATGGTAATAAAAAAGACGATTGAAATTAATTAATTGTCATCTTCAAATAATCAATCTTGGTCTCGATTAAAGTTCATTTCGCCAGTTCGTGCGCGTGACGCAAGCAATTAGATTATACGGCCAGTATAATCACATTGGTCATCTCTTCACCTGTCACTCAAGAAATAATCATCTTCACGAAAGGCTCCGGAAACTTCAACATCGGAACAATTAGTTATTCTTCCGCGTGGTTTCTACGAACTCCATTAGAAGTCACGCTCGCTCGTTCGTAGAAATTGATAAATTGCGATGAGACAACTAGAGTCTTGGCGTGTTACGAGAAGAAATTGTCGAATTTACTGAATCGAGTAAAAGTGTTACTTGTGCTACTTACAGAGTTATCTCTTTTCGAATACCATTTTTATACTTGAGGGATATTGAAACAAAAGGATTGATCCTTAATGAAGCATTCTTTTTATCAAGTTCATTTCCGTGGTATCAAATTTCGTTGAAAAATACTGTTCAATTTACTGAACCGAATGGTGCAAAAATATTGCTCCTTGCAAAGACTTATCTCTCTTCAAATGCTACTTGAAGGATATTGAAATAAAAGGTTGAATTTTTAGTGAAGCATTTCCATGGTTCGTCGAATTTTGTTGAAAATTTTGCTAGATCGTATTAGATACGACAGTGGCATAATTCTTGCTCTGTCTTTATAGTATGAAAACACTTTTAAATTGTGTTTCTTGTGTGACTCTTTTCTTAAACGATGAATGTTTGAATAACATTACAAATGATTATTTCCCTGAAGAAGCGTCTTCTTCTAATAATTCTTCGAGATCCTGAAAAGAATTTTTAATAAAGTCTTGCCTACGTTCTACATACGAAATACACGTAAGGTGAATAATTCATAAATCATGCAAAGATATCTCGCTTCGTAGAAACTCTGTTGTTTTAATATTTCACTGACGCATGTAACGCACACGTGTTACAACGAACAAGATATTCGTTGCATCATAGTTTTAAAATTAATTTTAAAATGGCTGCGAGCAATTGAACTTCACACTCGACGATATCATTCGACACGTTCGTTTTCTCAGACGTGGAGCTTTGAACAAGTGAAGTGATCTTTTGCAAAATTCGACTCGGAATGAAGCGGTGAATTTTTATTTTAATACAACAATGACAATCGACGAAATAAATATTAATAATTCTTACATATACAAATACGTGAGGAAATATAAAACACGTATAGTAAGCAAGATATAAAACATATATTATATATATAATGTAGAGAGTGATATAAACTGAAAAATGAAAATGGAGGAAAATTAGTGAATCGGAGCGGTAAAATATCAAGCAATGATCCAACCTCCATTATTTTCATTCTTCAGTTAGTCATAATAGAGCAATCAATGAGTACACGAGTACATATGCTAAACATAGTTATAACGCAGTATTTAAGATTCAATATTGTAAATCATCCACTTCTTGCCAGTGTCACACGCGCGCGCACACACACACACACACACACACACACACATTTACAAAATGTCTGCAACACTCTTACACTTGCAATACACGAATAAACGAATAAATGACACAAACGATATCAAAGCACGTGTTTATCACGTTGTAATACGTGTTAATTTTCGAATTAGAATAGAAGACAACGAGACAATTCTTAATTCTGCGCGTTGTTACATCGTAACTAATTCAACCAACTAACTTTACAACCAATTTAATTTCACGTTATCAATTAATTTGGCAGAGTGAAAATTATAATGGTGTGAGTTAAGATTTCGAGAACTTTTATTCGTCTTGTATTTCAATTTTTAAGCGTATCTTCGGTTTCTTCTTTAACATTCTTAACCCGAGTTATTGTAAATTTTTGATTAATTAACTAGACCACGAATTTTTATGCAAATTTGTATTTTTTTTGAAAATAATGAAAAAAGTAAAATCCAGATAGAGATTTGTTGAGTATTTGCAAGAACTATTGTATTCGTACATTTTTGTGTACTATGTGCATTCTGTGTATTCTCTTACCCTCAATTTGTCGTAATAACACGATTCATTTTGCATCTTCGTTTAATAATATTTATGACAATAAATATAATTAAAATATAATTTAACGATAAAACAATTTAGTTAAGACTCTATTTTACAGTACAACACGTTGCCACGACTTGGAAAATATAATTACCTTCTAGTGAAATTAACACCAGACACTACCTTAGGAAAACTAAAAGTAGACTGCACCACTATGATTCTCAATAGCCTAATTTTATTTAATACCCTTCAGTTTTATGTAAGATTAATTTATAAAAATTAATTTTGGTTGCTCTTAAATCGAGAAATACTTCTTGAAAGAGATAAACGAGATGGAAATAATATTCTTGTTATTTAATCATTCGTCTTCCATGAACTTCTTATTTTTTCAGTCGACGGAAAATATTTGGTCATTCTTCTTTGCTAAATGGTTACCAGCGAATTAATGAGACGCCATTTCGGTCCGTTTAGTCGATGATCCATGCGTCGTATGGTACCTGAGCAAAAATCCTCTCGACGAAGCTGGTCATTACTTGAACTAACTTCCTCCTCAGATCAGGTTTCATCTCTTTTAACAATTCTTGGCTATTAGTATTAATGAAGAGATTCAATGCCGCCACTGAAATGAGTTCAAAACGGAAAAAAAATTCTCTTTAGACTTGATTGATCGGTAATTCAAGTATACAATCATCTGAGCAATACGGTTTTATATAACTTCCAATACGTAAGACTACGATTCTTTTATTATAGGAATTAATTGGTTATATTTTTACTAATAATTATATTTATTTTATTTATTTTAGTTATATTTATTTTATTTATTTTAATTATATTTATTTTATTTATTTTAATTATATTTATTTTATTTATTTTATACTGAGAAGATCTCTTTGATTTTAGGTAACTATTTTTCTTAGATTTAAAAGAAATAGATGAAACAGTTTTTAGCTTGTGATATTCATCTTACTGTCAAATAAGATGTCGTATAATTTTTCTTTTGAAGAAAGTATATTGACATTCATGTCTCGAAAAAATTATTCACTTCTAAGAATTGACTTCTGCAGACGTCTTAAAATTAATATTCTTCTAGGTATATTCGTATCACTGTTGTAACAAACTGACAATCTTCACTCACATATTTTTTACTCTCTTTTGCAAAATTGACAACGACATATAATTTAATTATTATATCAATATGTAATTTATTACACTGTGGATTACAGCAGTAAATCAATTAAATTCCAAACAGGAAGAATCAAAATCGTGCTACCTAGTGTAAATCTGTTTTCTAGTCTTTCGTTTTGAAACGCTTGAGGAATTTTGCGTAACTAATTCACGATTGATTTAACAATTTATTACAAAAAAAAAATAGATACTTACGAATTATGGCGTTGCTATCACGAACATTTTCGACGCCCATCTTAATATTCTGCACACTGAAGTCCATCTTCAGCTGCTGCAACCTCAAATAATTACGACCTTGAACTACGAATGGCTTTGCCCTGATAAACACTTTCGCCTTTACACCTTCTGCAATTGTAAAAATAATGTATACTTTTAGTAAAAGAAAATGTTTAATTAATAATTTACAATAAAATTTCTATTCAATAATTGACATAAATTTTCTCTTCGATGTTTCACAGTTTGTGAATTTTCTAAAAAAATTCCTTCAAGCTTTAACAAAAATCATACTTGCAGACACTTTGGTTACAAAGAGCAAGATGCATTTGCATCGAACTGGTTGCATTCTACAAGGCGAATACATTGAAAGGTCAATGGTACCATTCCCGTAAAGATAGGATCAGCGTTTCTCACGTGAGTATGCAAATATCATTCATATCGTATAATTTCGATGCAAAAAAAAATTTTGATTTTACATTTCTAACATTTTCTCAATAACTATACGTAATGTGAGAAATAATATAAAATTAAAAATTACAGGATTTATAAAGCAATTAGAACAAAATTATAATTTATTCGTCTTGTCGAATTTTTATACGAATATTTTAAAGTTCGTTCTTTTTTTTTTCTTTTAATAACACGTGCTATGCATCAACGAGATATTCTTGAAATTAATATTCACGTGTTTAAATTTTAAAGATATGTATTCTTCAATTCTAGAAGCCTCCAGAAAATCACCTTAATGCAGTGAAATATCATCGTTAAAATGATTTCTACGGTGTTGTATTCTCGATAAAGCGCGACACGCGAAACGAAACATAAAAGCCAACTGAAAACCAATTTGCATTGCGTCGGCGGTGAAAGTCGGCAACGCTCTTGACTTTTACCTTTTCACTCAGCCCGCAATGTTCGTCCACCTCTCAAATTATAGTCGCTCACCGTCACAGCCTATTACTAGCAGCAGCCTTCAAATCGATACTTTATCCGACCCACCTGAGCTCGAGTCACGTTTTCACCCATAAACGATTATTAGTATGTTCCACAAACAATGCCACTACAATTCTACAATGTTAAAATAACTCCATGACTAGGTCAATAATCTTCAATTGTAATCGAACAGAAAGGTAGTCACGAGACTATCGAGTACTAGTCTGAAATTATAATTAGAATGTCGAGTCACGATTACTAGCATATTCCACAAACAATGTCACTACAATTCTGCAATGTTAAAATAACTTTACGACTAGGTCAATAATCTTCAATAGTAATCGAACAGGGAGGTAGTCACGAGACTATCGAGTACTAGTCTGAAATTATAGTTGGTATGTCGAGTCACGATTACTAGCATATTCCACAAACAATGTCACTAGAATTCTGCAATGTTAAAATAACTTTACGACTAGGTCAATAATCTTCAATTGTAAACGAACACAGAAGTAGTCACGAGACTATCGAGTACTAGTCTGAAATTATAGTTGGTATGTCGAGTCACGTTTTCACCCATAAACGATTATTAGCATGTTCCACAGACAATGCCACTGCAATTCTAATTAAAATATTAAAATAACTCCACAACTAGGTCAATAATCTTCAATTGTAATCTAACAGAAAGGTAGTCACGAGACTATCGAGTACTAGTCTAAAATTATAGTTGGAATGTCAAGTCACGTTTTCACCAATAAACGATTATTAGCATGTTCCACAAACAATGCCACTACAATTCTACAATGTTAAAATAACTCCACGACTAGGTCAATAATCTTCAATTGTAATCTAACAGAGAGGTAGTCACAAGACTATCGAGTACTAGTCTGAAATTATAGTTGGAATGTCGAGTCACGTTTTCACCAATAAACGATTATTAGCATGTTCCACAGACAATGCCACTGCAATTCTAATTAAAATATTAAAATAACTCCACAACTAGGTCAATAATCTTCAATTGTAATCTAACAGAAAGGTAGTCACGAGACTATCGAGTACTAGTCTAAAATTATAGTTGGAATGTCGAGTCACGTTTTCACCAATAAATGATTATTAGCATGTTCCACAAATAATGCCACTACAATTCTACAATGTTAAAGTAACTCCACGACTAGGTCAATAATCTTCAATTGTAATCTAACAGAGAGGTAGTCACGGGACTATCGAGTACTAATCTGAAATTATAGTTGGAATGTCAAGTGACGTTTTCACCCATAAACGATTATTAGCATGTTCCACAAACAATGCCACTACAATTCTACAATGTTAAAATAACTCCACGACTAGGTCAATAATCTTCAATTGTAATCTAACAGAGAGGTAGTCACAAGACTATCGAGTACTAGTCTGAAATTATAGTTGGAATGTCGAGTCACGTTTTCACCAATAAACGATTATTAGCATGTTCCACAAACAATGCCACTGCAATTCTGCAATGTTAAAATAAATTTACGACTAGGTCAATAATCGTCAATTGTAATCTAACAGAGAGGTAGTCACAAGACTATCGAGTACTAGTCTGAAATTATAGTTGAAATGCCCAGTCACGTTTTCATCAATAAACGATTATTAGCATGTTCCACAAACAATTCTACAATGCTAAAGATCAATAATCTTCAATTGTAATCTAATAGAAAGATAGTCACGATATTATCGAGTACTAGTCTGAAATTATAGTTGGACGAATGTCGTGTCATCCCTCACCGTATTCGCCCCAATAGTCACCAGCGCCGCTGGCTTTCACCAGGAGCAAGGTACCGCTGGATCTGTACTTGGCGGCAGCTCTGATCTTCGGAATGCTGAGGGCTAATTGCAATTGAACCTCGTCCTCCGATATTCTAGCCCTCAAACCAGTCACCCGTAACGTGGAGACTCCCCTCGCCGTGATGTTCTTGAACTGCGCTCTGTATCCATCCGGACCACCGCCGAGCGCGATGTGAAGCTCGTCGAGGATGATCGGCTCTACCTCTGGGTAGCCTAATTGCGGTAAACCTGAAATTTCACAGTCAACGAACTGGTACATTTCTGTGTCGTTGTCGTGAAATTTGATATATCAATTCTGTTAGGTCGAAATTCTGGAATCGAAACGATAGATGATTAATTGATTATAGTAGTTTTCGAATGACGTTTTAACGAATGTTCTTAATTTCGAAATACAGATCAATAGATGTTAATTTCGGTTACCGTTAGAATTGTGATAAAAGAATTTGTAAATGGAAATTTTCAGATTATTGTTGCAAAGGGAAATATTGCGATTTACAGAGCGTTTGAAAATAATTGGCAAGAATGACACGCTCCGGTCTCATTCGAGACGATTTTTCTTCCATTTCGCGCTTTCGAAAGTGGAACGGCGACATTTGAATATTAAATCATGTAAAAGTACAACAGGAGAGCGAATTTTAAATGTTTCATTTCTACGTTTCCAACGTCGCACTATCTTTTGATTTGTAATTTAAAAAAGAAAAAAAAAAAAAGAAGAAAGAAAAAAGAAAAGAAAAAGAAAGAAGTGACAGTGAAAGGAAAATTAATCGGTCGATCGAAATTCATCGTACGTTTGCTCGTTCGTTGCTACACGATCCAACGAGAGGAAAAATCGAAAGTAATAGGCGAGAAAAGACATTTTTTATAGCCGAAGAGGAGGACGAACTCTGCGAGCGTGAAAAATTTCGATGCGTATGTTTTATTCAATGCGCGCGAGCGAACCGAACCTATTCCATCCGTGCTGGGAGTGGAATGTAGGACACTGGGTGACCATTCGAATACACCGTTATAACCTGCTTCTTTGCCGCTCGATGCCTTTTTTTCTCCTCTCCCCTCCGTTTTCAACCGATCAGCCACGTGCTCATCACGATCACGATCCGTAATTTCGACTTCCGTATTTTTTTCACCGCGGCGAATTCTACTTTTAGAAAATGGGTCCGTCCATTCCTATTGCAAGTGAACGTAATGAAACTTGGTCGCTTGGTCTTGCTTTGAAGAATAGTCACGGACTGCAGACTCAGACTAAAGTGGAGTAAAACGTAGACTGAAGACAGACTGTAGAATTTTACTTAAAAGTCTGTGTACGTTTGTTTCGTTCATTTCTCTAGAAACAATAATGTTCTTGAGAACAAACAGAAATAATCTTTATCGTGATGTCAATTGTTAATGTGAAAGGTTTGTTGCTATGTTTGACTTCAATTGTTATTGAAATAATTTTATTATTATTATAATATTGTACTGTATCATATTGCATTAGAAAACAGTGTAGCTTTCATTGCTTTTGTTGCTTACTTCAAAGTTCAAAACTGCGTAGAATGTAGGATAATACGAAGGAAACGTATAAAATATTCAAATTAATTTGCGTTTTATAGCGTTATTGCTATTAATTCATTCGTTTTTGCCCGTTGGAATCACGTGTAAAACAGAAGGTCAATGCATATTTGAATGATGAAGTCGCAGATGATTGATCGAGTAGAGATATAAAATATTTGAAGGAAAATGAAACATTTTATTAGCTTCTATCTTATAATACCTCCAGTTTTAAACATAAAGTTACATTGATGTGTTAAAATACTAGTATTTCTGTAAAAATTTCGAGTTTAAGAATAATTACAAGAAGATTCCGATCTTTCTGAAACACTCGCGCTAAAAAGCGTGAAGCACGAAGCGCAAGTGACTTTCGTTTCCATTGAAAAATTGCACGAATCAATTTTGAAAATATATAGTTGAATTACTAGCAACTACATAATCTTTATATCATCGTAAAGCCTCGAAAGTACCATTAACTTTCTCACACTGTGCAAAACGAATTTCTCCTAAATAACAGTAGCCAGCTTAAAAACGAGAGCATGTGTTATTCCGTTATTTGCCAAGCAAAGTTAGAATAATAATAAATAGTACAGAATAATAAATAAGCAGGTACGTTCAAAGTAGTAAAAAATAATATTTTCAGCAAGAGACATTCGACTAACGAGTAAAAAATATTTCGGTTAAATTATTTCACCAAGCCGTTTCACTGAGAAAAATTTCTTACCATGACGAAAGTGTTCGGTGAGTGCGTTGGCCGATCTAGCGAGACAATTCTCGACGTTGTAGTCCCTCCTGGAGCAAGGCTCTAAAAACTCTAGTCCTCTGTATCTACCAATGGCCTGTACGCCGATTAGCAACGAACACACGCACACCAACAGGATGCTCTTCATCTTCAACTTCTCTTCGACTTCAGATCGTTGACTCCTGTTCGTCGAACGTTCCCCGAGCCTGGCTCGCGTCGATCGAATTTCTCCGCGTGAAATGACCGGCCGTCGGGGATGCGCCAGGCCTTATAGCACCTTGACATTGCCCCCGCTATGTCTTCGAGGCCACCGCGCGAACAACAGAACGAAATCCAACTGGAGGGCTTTCTTCGACGTTGAAATTCAACTCCCGAGAGCATTGTCTCACATAATTACGGAGAACAGAAGACTTGTTTGTTTCTATTGGCACTTTGTCAAAAGATGAGAGATGTTTCTCTCGTTAATTTTTAATTGTGACTGTTGAATGATCAAATTGGGAAAGATGGGGGACACAGGCGAAAATTTTGTGAACAGTAGTGATTGAAAGTAGGGAGTTTCCTGACAACAGTGGCTGTTGAGGACAGAAAATTTCTCGACAGTGACTATTGAAAGTGAGGAAACTTCTTTCTCGTCGTTTTGAATATTCAACAATCATTGAAGGACATAGGAATTATCAAAAATGGGTTTTAAAAGAGTTTTTAGTAATAGCTATTAGGGGCAAAAATTTTATGAATGGTCATTATTGAAAGTTTCTTGATAGTAATTGTTAAAATTATTTTAATCACAATTATTCAGAATAGAAAATTTGTTCCCTTTCTTTCTTCTTTGGGAACGATCGATTATAACTATTAACAGTAATTTGAGAGAAAAGTAGAATCCTGAATCATTTTGATTATTATACATATTGTATGTGTGTGTTTGTATAAATGAAATAGTATATTTTTATATTTGAATAAAATAATGTACTCTCCAATCATTTATAATGTGTAACAATAACATTTACCTCAATAGGAAATTTTTTGAAAGGATTCGGAGATCTCGCTGAAAGATAACGTGTCGGTAAAACAGTGCCGGTAAATCCTACATTTGCCAGTGATTTCAATGCGTGTGTAGAAGATCAAGTACACACTTCAACGATTAGCGCACCAAAGTATCGTTTGTAAAACAAAATAATACACAATTATTTTTGTAAATTATTTATAATTACTTACGAATTACATATTCATAATATTAACAAATTATATTATATATAATAAAAATTAAAGTCAATGCATTCATGTTGGTACATTGAATATCACTGTAGTCTTTTGGCAAAATTAATTATTAAAATGCAATACGACATTTATACAATTTATTTTGTAAATTTTATAACATAACGAATATGTTTATATAATAAATCAATTAATATATTGCAAAATTAGTCAATTAATAAATAATGTTAAATTAATGCCATGTTAAAGAGAATTGATTTTGCATTAATAAAATTATTTAAATTAATTTCAATGTCGTTCTTTAAGAAGTCAGATTTATAGTAAAAGAAAATTCATACTAAAACAACATAGATACAAATTATCCAATACCACGATATTATCGTGTGAAATCACTTTTTCAGCTGTCAAATCAACTTTCTATTCGTTTCGTTTAAATGATTAAATTAAATTAAATTAAATTGAATTAAATTAAATTAAATTAAATTAAATTAAATTAAATTAAATTAAATTAAATTAAATTGAATTGAATTAAATTAAATTAAATTAAATCGAATTAAATTAAATTGAATTAAATTAAATTAAATTAAATTGAATTAAATTAAGTTAAATTAAATTAAATTAAATTAAATTAAATTAAATTGAATTAAGTTAAATTAAATTAAATTAAATTGAATTGAATTGAATTGAATTGAATTGAATTGAATTAAATTAAATTAAATTAAATTAAATTAAATTAAATTAAATTAAGTTAAATTGAATTGAATTGAATTGAATTGAATTGAATTGAATTGAATTGAATTGAATTGAATTGAATTGAATTGAATTGAATTGAATCGAATTAAATTAAATTAAATTAAATTGAATTAAATTAAATTTAATTGAATTAAGTTAAATTAAATTAAATTAAATTAAATTGAATTAGATTAAATTGAATTAAATTGAATTAAATTAAATTAAATTAATATAATTTCGTTCAGGATCAGGTCAGTATTCACAATGTTTCTCGTGGTTTCGTTAGAAAGCGCAAACTGATCTCGAGTCCGTAACGAAACGATTCTCATAAATTCGTCTGCTCTTTCTTCTTTTTCCCCTCTAAAGGTATTACATCAAGGCGACTGATACAAAACACGATACATGTTAATTATTTTTAACGGCGAACTTTCTCACAGTCCCTGTAGTCGCGACTTTCTTCTACAGATGGAGAACGATAGAGACAAAACTGGTTCGCGAAAAATGGCTCTATTGGTCATCATTGTCGAGATTCTTGCGGATTTCTCGTTATAACGAGGAAAAAATTTAGACAACGCTACAAGCGAATTGATCTACTCTTGTGAAAGTTGCTTAATAAATCCAAGTAAATTGTAATTCGGTGTGGGGAGGCAAACAAAAATTTCTGGATTTCAACTTGAAGTTAATTTCCTGAAAGTTCATCATTTCTAGATACAATACATTGGTAAAGTTTATTTTTCGGCAAAATTACCTTATTTCCTGTGTAAATGGTGATTTATTGTAAGGAGTTATTTTGCGATTAGAATTAGTAGAAAGTGATCTTTTGAAATTTCAATGAATTTTTCAAAGCTTACTTTATAATTGGAAGAGTGTACACGATATGAATATACATTTTCTGAGAAAATTTTTATTGAGAAATTGAGGTTCATTGATACAGATTATTTCATATTCTTTACAAAGATTTAAATTTCTAACGAAAAATACTAAATATTCCTCCTCTTGCAACATCGATGATCTAAAATTATTACAATACTTTTATTCTTAGATTCTTCAAGAATTTCTTAACGTACCAATCCTAATTTCCAAAAAGCAGAAGATGTTACAAGATACGATTTATTAGAAAATTACTTGAACGTTGAAAATATGAAGTAACTTTATTAAAAATATGGATATATACAAATGATTGAGAAATTATTTGAAAATTGCAGGATACTTGGATTTTATTGAAACATGCGATGCGATTGACATTGATGAAACACAAAACGTGTGTTATAATGAACAATAAAAATTTGGACAAGTTACGACGAAAATAAGCGGATGTGAACGCTGGACGTCAGAGAAGTTCGTACGTTTAGCAATGAATGTTAAGCACCGTTAATAAGCACCGTAACTCGTGCTCACGATAAGAATCGATCATCGATCGAGTATTGCTGTGAACCGTAATGCGTTTTGTTCGATGTCATGTCAGACGTAGAATGAACGCGTTCAGAATATTTGACATTCCTAAGGCTATTAACGGCTATTAACATCGATACGTTTTTTGTATTTCAAGCGTCAATTTTTTAGACGAATAACTCATGTTTCTATGTACAATCGCTCACGAAAATATTCGAACGCTTACAACAATTTTCTGTGTGTTATACAAAATATGTTTTAACGTACGTGTATAAATGAAATATAGAAGTATAAAAATTATTTATAAATTATTTATATTAAATAATTTGTAATGTAAAATTATTTAATATAAAATAAAACAATAAAACAGACATTCATAGGAAATTTTAAAGCGCAGAATTGCAGGTGACGAAAGGAAATATATACAAAATATACAGAGTATAGTATATATACTCTATATAATATTTGACTGACAAAATAATTTTTTATAAATGTCTGCAGTAGGTATCTTATAACTTCTGTATACACATGTTCAAATTGTACCAATATAGATACATTTAGTCGTTTCTCATCACAATGATAATAATTTTTTCGAATTTTTTTTTTATATAATATACGCGTAAAATTTTACCTGCTTTCGTGTATCCACTGTAGAAAAACGTGGCAATTTGAATTAATCTCTGATCCACCGAATGAAGAACATTGGACGATGATCTATTTGCTTATTCTTTGTCACAGAGAGAACGACGAGACGGCCATTTTCTCCGTTATCTATTTCCTTTCGACACAAATTATCGACGAATGTTCGATGAGGGCCGATGCACCACGAGAGAGAATGCGAGGTCAGAGACCGTCAGCCTCTCAAGGCGAACGGCTATCCCGACAGAAGAAGAAAGTCTCGTATTCGCTTCGTTACGTTCGTTAGCACGAACGGAAGAAGAGAAGATCACGATTGCTGAGAAGCCCTTGAATCGTAATTTGCCATCGTAAAAAGCCAATTGCGCAGTCCTATCGCACGAAGATGTTATCAAAGAACGAAGGATATGAACAGAATAGACATACTTCGCGAATCTTCGCATTGCACGTATACCGAGGTACTGTTCGGGCAGATCGAGGAAATTTGAGAACGTGTCTGAAAAGTTAGATTGTTCATTTCGTGAATTACTGAGAACCAAGAGATTATAAACACTTCGATTTCTTGAAATTTTACGAAATTATGAAATCTACGTCGAGGACGTCATGATGAGAAAATATCAACCAGTGTCGTTGAGCGTTGGGAAGCCTAAAAATCTTTTAGATAATTTTGGAATTTTTAATTCGATTGCATCTCCATCACAGCGAGTGTGAAATGAAGAATAAAATTGAATATCCAATGTAGCGTGACAAAACGAATTACTACAATCATTTACAATCGTGCAATACTATTTCAGGATTGATTCTTGGAAATTTCTTTCGCAGCTTCAGTATTAAATAATGGAATTTGACACTGTAAATTAATTGTAAATGAAAGTTGGTTATATTTAATAATATTGTAAATAAAATATAACCAAATGGCCTCAATAGATTAAATAAGATCATCAATTTGAATATCTTGCAGAAATGCTTCTTATTTTGCAAGAGTTTCAAGTGATCGACGATTCCTGTTTTTAAAAGTGAAATTTATCACAATGTTTGGCAAATATACGACAAGTCTATAAGAAGTGTATAATTATCTCCACCGAATATAAAAATAAGATATCAATTCAAATGATGAATCTAATTAATTGCATTGTAGAGAAAAGGAATGAAATTGCTAAAATTCTGTCGTTGAATTTTTTGACGAAAGATTGAAAGAATGTTCCTAAAGTGACCGAGAATAAGCAAGAGACTTCGTTGCAAAGAAATCATTATAAATCCATCTTCGTTTCTTCGTTTGCGAGAATTATTTCTACTTTTTGTATATTGCAAAAACCATGCAATATCCCATTGCCTATCAAAGTATATCGTTCGCCATTTATTCTGTATCAAAAGAAATTTCAAAAAAATCAGGGAAATGTTTGCAAAATAAATAATCTTAATTCTTTGCAAGATTAATTCTACGAAGATCGCAGCGTCTTTTTACGTAATGAATACATCGTCTTTTCATCATCTATTTCAATATTCATTATCGTTGCATAATAAGTCATATCGTTTAGTTTCGTCATCACTTGTCAGAGATGTCTTCTTCTTTTTTTCAACAAATAGTTATTTCGAAATTCCTCTAAATTAAAATAAATATCTAGTTGATTTTCATGTATCATTCTGACATTTCAAGGATGAAATTTACATCCTCTCCTTCTCTATATTATATACGTAAGTTCTACCATTTTTGTATTATTATTTAAATATTATTTGAAATAATCGGTATAAAAGTTACATCTATAAATAATAAATGAGTATTTCTGAGAACAGTCTTCCTCGCGTTTCCTTTTAAATTCGAGGTAAATTGATTGACATGTCAACAATGAGTAATGCAAGATTTCCTGTAAAACGTGCGTCAAACTTTTTCAAAAAATGCAAGTTCAAATATATGGTAATTAAATAAAAAATTTTAATTACCATAATAAAAAATTTTAATTACCATAATAACAATTACCATCATTAATAAAAAATTTTTCCACGATTCACCGAAATGAGTGCTTTTGTTCATTGTCGTGCCTTGTCGTTCGAATCAAAATTTTCATCAACCGGTAACAGGCTTCGGCTTGATAATTGTCTCGAAAGGAAAATTGGAAAAGGACTTCTGAAAGCCCTCTGTAAACGCGGCAGAGACAAGATCGTTGATTATGCGTCTGGTAAACACGAATCCTGGTTGCCACGTGCCATTTATTATTTTGTCAAGTATGTTTTCCAGCATTTTGTGACCGTACAGCAAATTTGAGATATGGAGCTTCAAATCTCTGATCTTTTGCACATCCACGCTGACTCGAATCTTTTCCCCTGGTCTTCTGGTGATGGTTGTCGTTTGAATGAGATCGTCTAAGAAGAAAGATGATAATATAATTATCCATAAGATAATGTTATTATTATAATAATATTATTATTATTATATTATTATTATAATAAGATAATATTATTATTATAAAGATGATAATATAATATAAATAAATTGTTTGAAGGTAAAGTAATAGTATGGAATGCTGTCTTACAAAGATCCAATGTGAATCTTCCTCTGTTGCTTATGCTGGAGCTCAGTGCTGTAGCTTTAAACTCATACCAACCTGACAAGTATTTGTCTGGGAAACTCTGAGTGTATACTATCTAAAAATTAATCGTAAATATTAATTATTTATTGTCAATTTATTGTCATTTACTATTAATTAATATTGAATATATCAAATACAATATTAAAGAAAATTTCTCTTTGGGTTTTCCTTTCGAACTCAATGTTAAATATCACGTTGTTACTAGTATATAATTTAATAATAATATCCTTATCTTTTCATGTCACGTTGCATATAAAAATGTATATATAAGATATATATAATATATATATATATTTATATATACATATATAAGATATATAAGATATAATATAACATATATATAATATTATATATATATTTAAATATATACACATAAGATATATAAGATATAAAATATATAAAAATAATATATAAAAAAATTTTTAGAATATTTACTGAAAACAATATCATTTTCTTCAATATTGATTTTTTAATATTGATTTGCAAACAAGTAAAAGATACAGAATTTATCATCATCTTTACCCAATTTCGATTCTCTGCTACCATTTACAAAAACATAAAGATACTTACAAATCGTTCGAACAAAAGTTTCTACCAAAACTCGGAATCTTTTTAATCCCCGCCATAAATACCATTAGGTTCGACAAATATCTGATATAATCTGATGATCAAGTATCTGTGCTTACTCTATAATTTGTGAAGTCGCTGACGAATTTCGTCACCTTGCTCCTAACCCATCCACTCTCGGTAACGTTCTTCAGCGTCAAGGTGAAACCTAAATTGGGCACTCCTCGCGATACTGACACTTCTTTCGCGAAAAATGGATCGATAGGGTCTACGTTGTACTGGGGGAGGCCAGTTTTGAAGTAAGGTCGAATTGCGTTTAACCCTTCTCGTATACATTCGTCGAATCCTGACACGTTTGGATGACAGTCCTTGAAATGGTCCTCTGAAAAAGGAGAATATCATTGGGATACGACAGTTGAAGAAGTCCATTTAAACTCGTACGGCTGAAATAAAAGTTGTATTAGAAGAGAGAAAAAAAAGATATGGAGCAAGATGTTGCATGACGGACTAAAAAGGGAAAAGTAGATTGGGGATAATCTCCAAGACTCTGGGAGAATAGAAAATTATGTTACCATATAAAATATGCAATAATCTCGATCGTAACAGCGAATAATGGTATAAATATATAATTATGAAAATTATATATTGTATGAATATATAATTATGAAAAATGGTGGTAATTATTCTGACAAGAAAAATGGGGACATGTCGAGGGAATATCTAATTACGAATTGAAAGCGTGGCAGATTTGAATTCTGCTAGGTGGAAGATTAGAATAATTTTTAATTAGAATAAGAATAGAATAAGCGTAAAAGTAGAACAATTTTTTAATTTAAAATCTATGAAGGATCAAGCTTTAATTTAATCAAAATTACATTTTTATAAACTCGAGGATATTAGACTGTGAAAGTTGGAGGAAATTTTTTTTTCTACTAGTTTTAGTTTAGCAAGTTTATCGATGCATTTGTTGTAAAAAAGATAATTGAGAAAATTTCCGGGATTACCTTTGTCGTCTAGTATTCCTTTCATCCTCTCTAAAGGAGAATGACTTGAAAAATGTACTCTCATACTACTTTATCTTCTGTGAGAACGTTTCCATTATTTTATCTCTAATACCGATGATAAATTAAAATTTTTTCAATTTGAATATTGTGTAATTTGTATTGTGTTGAAAATTTAATTTTAATTTGAATGTTACTTGGCAAAAACTATTAATAATTAAGAAGAGACTCCCACAATCTTTTTAATTGCACTCTCAGAAATCTAGATTTGAACAAAAATTCACAATCTGTTTATTATTGTCCCAGATACTGACAACAGGGTTACTCACAGTGAAAGTCAAGTTATCCAATATCACGGTAATATTTGAACGAAGCATCTGTCGAAACTTTCTTTCGCGTAACTAGCCGAGATGTTACGTGAAGAATCGTCGAAAGAAGGTAGCTTGAAGAGCAGATAACAAGTAAGAAATTGCGTAAATTGCGTCTACGACTCTCGCATTACTCGTATTACGTTTGCGACATGATATCTTGATCCTTAGTGAAAACTCGATTTTCCTTTTAACTTTTCACTTATACTCACATATACTATGAATCACAAACATACAACTTATTCTATTGTTATAGCTTCAATTTACATTTGAATTTTGTTTTAAAAATACCAATCTTTAAATTAAAAACCCAATTCTCCTAATTCTGATTCATAAATTGTTAACATTTTATTAAATTATCAATCTTGTACTGATTCACGTACACATATAAATATTCTATATTCTGTATTATTATAACAACAATGTCCAAATTTCTATCAATTCTGACAACTTATCGTACGATTGTAGCACCAGTTTCTAAATCTTCAAAATCTTCTCTTAACTTAAATTCGCAGATAACATTTTATCTTCAATTCAGACATATTCACATTGCATTCGCCCTGTTATTAGTACACCAATCTCTAAAACGAAAATCGTCTCTTAACTCTAACCTACCTAATTAGACGATTTCTCACAAATTAATACTTTATCCAATCTCTTTTACTCAGTCAGACGTAGTCACCCTGTCATCACAACACCAAATAAGCGTTTCCTTTTCTTCCACTTCTCGTTCACAAATTAAATGAAAAGAACATTCGAAACCTGCCAAACCTGCGTCTTAGATCTTCGTCCCAGACATTCTACTCATTCTGCTTTCGCAACGACAACTTCCTATCACAAATGAAGTGAGAAATCAACTCAAACATGCTTCGTTTCAAGTTGTCGTTTCAAGACGATCGGATGAACAAAATTTTGACAGAGTCATACGTTCCACTCCCTGGGAATCCTCAAACAGCACCAATAACCAAGCCAACACCTCAGTCAATAATGGTTCGTCAACGTTCAAGGTCTTTCGCTTACCAAAGTCCGCTTTTGTCGATGATGCACGTAAGATGAGGATCAATATCACAGAAACCTTGGTCGACAATGACATCTCGGCGATCGATAACGTGCCAGCCGCCACTGGCGTGGCTACACGTTCGCGATTAAACGCGCGAGAAGCGAAATTCCAAGCAGACGTGTAGACGAACGACGCTTACACTTTCACTCTCGGCCTGAGGTCTGAGAGGAAGGTTAACTCTGTTGGGTTTTGTGCACAGGATTTTCAGCGGATCTTATATAATCCAGCATCGAAATACCACCGGAGGGGACCAACATCCTGATTATTAAAAGTAGAGATTCATTCGAGTAGTAAAAAAAAAAAAAAGAAAACGACACGCGAGCATTGAATTCTAGATTCTTGCGAAAATTTATGTTTTGCCTAAACATTACACGATCCGAGAAGGGGAAGAAGTTTGTTTTGACAGTTTAAAAAAAAAAAATAAAACGAAAGTTTTTGTTTATTGACGTTTGTTCAAATTCAAACATGTCGTGAAGAGATTTTTAATCTCTGGGTCTGATGAATATTTCAAATTTCATTACAAAAACGCACGTAATGTGGAAGAATTGAGATATCTGAAGCAAAGTATTTATTATTCGACTGCAGATTATATCTGTGAAATCTAAGAATGCAAAAATTTATAAAACGAATACTATATATATTAATAGAGTATTTATGATAATGTAATATATTTCTTTAGTTGTATTTCTAAAAAAATATATATTATCATTCTCAAAGGTATATATAATCACGAGAATCTGCAGTTTATTTATATACCTGTATGTATTATGAAGCGAAATAATTTTTTCTTATTTTCCCGTCAATTTTGTAACTTAACATAGTTTTAAAATTCAGGTCATATGCAATTTTAATATTTTCAAATTTTCCATAAACGCATTCACATGAGCAGTTTAGTCATGCATCATATATCTTCATACATTTTATATATCTCTAGACAACACAACTGCAAAATCCGCATAAATGCATAAAAATCTACCACAATCTAATGATTACCAATAACGGAATATTGCTTTGTGTTCTCTGTCGTATTTTTTTTTTTTTTTTTTTTTTTTTTTCATTCTAGTGAACGTCTATGTCCTTGGTGTGTTGAAGTATGATCCTTAGGTTTACAGTCTTCAGATGGTCATGCGAGTCGAGTAACAAAAGGAATGGCTGATTTGTGATTACTAGTTGATTACGTAGGATTTCTTCCAAGAAATTTCGACATTTCGTAAAATAAAACAAATCTCCTATTAAATTTTGTAAACAACATTTAATTTTTAAGTTAATCGTAACACCTTTTGTATAATAGATGAGAAGACGCGTAACCTCTCTAGTAAGCGAAAGTTCCTTACGTAATATAAGGGTATTACAATACGAGCTACAGCAATAACATTTCAAGAATAACTTGTTTCAAATTTTTATTTACAAAACTAAACGGCGTCACTTTCAAAGTACCTACCTTTGCTTTCAAGATGCATCAGGTGCATTGTTTGTAACACTTTCTACAACTCGTTTTGTGTTTATGTTTACTTTTAATTCTAAAATTTACACTGACGTAAATTTCAAACGTTAAGTGGATTAAAAGTCTATAAAATTTCATTTTCTATTTTCTACTTGAGGTAACAAACATGTCGTAGTGAATATGAGTATAGCAATTTCTAACAAGGATAGTGACTTCGAAAAGTAATTTTTTATTTTATTTTTTATCTGGAGAAATTCTTTGTATAGAAGAAACATCTATCAGCGTCGAGCAATTCTGAATTTCTTTACGCCTTCTCAAAGACAACCAGATATACAGTCGAGTAAAACCTGACTACGAACTCGTATAATGGACAATTACACAAAGCTGAAATATATTGAAAAACTCACAAATGAATATATTTTATGTGAGTGTACGTATTCTGTAAAAATTTAATTTTGAACTTTGAACGTATATCTCAGTCATTGTACCTAGAAAATAATTGTATAACATACATGTCCGTATAATATACAATTAACAAGTACGAAACACTTATATGGCATCTTCGTAACTTCAATACTTTCATGAATCCATACCAAGTGTTCAGCCTACCGAAAATTTGCTTGCGCAACGCTACAGTCATGATTACATTGCTAAATTGCCTGACGGTATGGTCAAAAACACCATTACGGCAATTATCTCTTCACTTCATTGCAATACTGCCTATACCATAAATCGAATTCTGCAATTTTCATCAATAATCAACTGTTACGTTGTAACGATCGTTACGTTAACTTTTTTTTTTTTGGCCACATAAATTTTATTGATTCTCTATTGTATTTGTTAATTCTCTTTTACATTTTATACGACTTGATATATTTCACGTATTATATAATTAATTTAAGTATTTTTAATTATAATTAAAATACTGAAGTGGTATTTACTCATTAAAGTAACTAAAGTACTCACTAACTTACTTACTAAAGTGCTCGCGTATTATTATTATAAATTATAATCAAAGAACTGAAGAATTCTTCAAATTTTAAGCGACGAACTTTATATATACTACAATTTCCTATACTTACGAAGAACTTTTAATTCGTAAGTTTTCTTCAATTTATTGCCAAAAGTGTAAAATTGTAAGTTTTAAAAGTGTAAAATTGTAATTCGTAAGTTTTCTTCAATTTATTGCCAAAAGTGTAAAATTGTAAGTTTTAAAAGTGTAAAATTGTAATTCGTAAGTTTTCTTCAATTTATTGCCAAAAGTGTAAAATTGTAAGTTTTAAAAGTGTAAAATTGTAATTCGTAAGTTTTCTTCAATTTATTGCCAAAAGTGTAAAATTGTAAGTTTTAAAAGTGTAAAATTGTAATTCGTAAGTTTTCTTCAATTTATTGCCAAAAGTGTAAAATTGTATCGAAAATAAAGAACACAAGCTCGTCCAATAAGAAAAAAAAAGACCGGAATATTCTACAAAAAAAAAAACTACAAATTATTTTCCGAAAAAAAACCGGAATATTCTACAAAAAAAAAAAAAAAAAAAAAAAACAAACGACACGCGCAGAAAAATATACCTTTTAGTAGAACATACACACACGAGAAAATACTCCAAGAAAATGCTGGCAACTACAATTCCCAAGGTTTAAAAATCGAGCAGTGATACGAATCGAGCCACGTATTCCACGTTGAAGTATGGTAATCTGGATCTTTAGTAGCGTGATCGGTTCGGGTCGATCGAGGGATCGCGCGCGCGGCTGACACCGGAGCTCTCCCTTGGAAGAGAAATTTTCCTTCCGGGGTGGCGCGCGCGAATCCATCCTATCACGACCGGCTTCGGATCGCATTTCGAATTTATCGCCTGGCAAGTCAACGTGATCGATTCTTGATGGTTTTCGGCGCATCTTCCTCGCTCCATCTCCTCTGGCAAATAAATCCGTTCGCGGCAATTACGGTAAAAGGTTTGTTAATAATTAACCCCTCTGCGGAGCCCTTCGACGCCGTATTCGAGCTGTTTGCCATAAAATTCTCTCTACGATGGCGGCGTGTGACAGAAATTATCGAGGATTTAGGGATTTACGGGGATATGAAACGAGGGTTTTAGAGCGTTGACGTTGGTACAACATCTGATGGGTACTTAAATCCACTGATGATAAATGTATTAATAATTGTAATCGAGGCGGTTAGAGGAAAATGATAAGATAATTATCTCAGATCCTTCCATTTTTCTTTTGAAAGAGAAACTGAAATTAATCAAAATTTGATAACTCTATCAGTCTCACTAGTTCTCGTCTAATTGTTTAAACATTTGATTTATAATAATTTCCGAATGTTAACAAATCGAGTTTGCGTAAAGCTCATTTTATGAATGTTTCATTTTATCTTCGTGCCATATCGACGATACATTGTAGTTCCGTGACACTTTCATAAAAAATTTATCACTGGCAAATCATGGAAATAAATATTTTTCCTTTTTTCTGTCTTCATTTGTTTTCTCAGTTACAATGCTCTCTCGAGCATTGAAAATGCTCCATTATCTTTCAGAAATGTTTTCCAGTTCAATGCGACGCGTGAAGAATTGAAGTTTTTCCCCTCCTCCACCGTTGTCTGACATATTACGGAGCTACCCTACTTGTTGAATACACCTCGCTCGGTATCTGATGTTTCCACTTTTAATTAAGTCTCGCATTACCCTACAATTACACAGCTCATAATTCCTTCACCGAAATCTCTCAAACTCGAGATCGTATCGCGTTCGCTGTTTATACGTATATTTACGCCGTTCCGACTAATTCTTGTACAAACGCGACCACGTTAATTAGCACCGCAACCCGATCCCAACGACTCGATATGAAAACTGCTTTCACCCGGGGGGGCCCTCGAAACTATCTAGAAACACAAATAACAACAACGAACGACGCACTTGTTCCTCATTGAAGTTTGTTATTGCCTTTGCTACTCGGGAACGGAGAAACGCTAACGAAATCAGAACGAAGAACACTCGTTGTTCGTTGAATCGACGTAAATTGTAAATGGAGAGAGAAAAATTCTCTTTTATATAATTAATCGAGCAATTCGATTAAACAGAATTTAAAAATATAAGCGAAATGAAGTTTGAACGAATGTTGAATCTCCGTTGATGCTGAAAGTTCGAAAATTTCGAGTGGTAATTAATTGTTGACAAATCGACGTGTTCACCTCAACTTGCCGAACTTACGAACGAAACAACGAACGAATCGTCGTAATGAAGCAAGTGTCGTATTAGCGAACGGGGAGAACATTAGAATCGGCATGGCGGTCTGAGTCATAATTAAAACGAGCTCCGTGATGGAGATCGGGCTACTGATGGCGTGGAGTAGCCGAGATTAAATTGAGTGGCGCAACGCGCGGCTTGCGAGGGCCGCATAATGCCGCATGACCTGTCGAGACCTCGCGTGTAAAACCCATAACTAACCTACAAATACCCCCCTGAAAACTTTTGTCGTGACCCTTGCTCAGGCATCCGGTGGACCGCAGTGTCATTAAAATGGCAAAAGGAAACTCTGCTGATAAACGGTCTCGAATTTCCTACCTTTCGCAGAAAGGTCTGCAACGCTCTGATATTTTATTGCAATATTTTTTCTAAAACATTTCTACGTTCCGATTTTTATTGCACAACTTTTTGAAATATCTCTGCTACTAGGATTTAATTATTATTTTTTTCAATCATCTCTGCTGCGTTCATTTCGTCAAAA